GCTAGGATCGCTAAATGGCTGAAGCTGAACACTAACCTACTTACTTTAAATACTTTGGAAACTAGTTACATATGTTTTACAAATTATATTCGAACTCAGCCCAATATTAATTTCCAAATAAAACTTCACGCATGCTATGATCCTTTAAGTACTAGTTGTAGCTGTTCATTAATTAGTAAGATCTCTGAGACCAAGTATTTAGGAGTCATTGTCATGGTAAAACACGTTGAATTAATTATGAATAGACTTAGGAAAGTTACATGGGCATTTAAAAAAAAACGAAAAAGTTAAAAATGATTCCCTACAGAAGATCTTTATGCCCTAAGTAATGTACCTACTGTTAGGAAACCGTACATCTTATATTCAGTTTTAAGACTGCACAAAGATATAAAGTTTAACGGTTGTGTTGTAGCCAAAAAAGGAAAAACGTAGTGGCTACAGCTATCGCTATTAAGACTATTTTAGTTAGGAGGCAATATGTAAAACAGTCAGCAACTCTTTACAACGCCATTAGTAAAAGCATAAAAATTCATTACCTTAACTACCATGATTGCAAATATGTTCTAACTGAATGGCTATTTCATAAGAGCTATGATGATAGTGTGGCTCTTTTAAGCAATACGAAATAATGTAATTTATTTATAACACACACACACACACACACACACACACACACACACACACACACACACACACACACACGCACGCACACACACGCGCACACACGCGACACACACGCGCACACACGCGCAGACACGCGCAGACACGCGCAGACATCGCAGACACGCGCAGACACGCGCAGACACGCGCAGACATCGCAGACACGCGCAGACACGCGCAGACACGCGCAGACACGCGCAGACACGCGCAGACACGCACACGCACACGCACACGCACACGCACACACACACACACACACACACACACACACACGCACACGCACACACACACACACACACACACACACACACACACATCACACACACACACATCACACACACACATACACACACCTTCGGTGTGATTATTATTATTATTTTTTGTTTTAATTTTGTAGTTAATTATTACGTAAAGATTGTGCAAGTAGTAATGTAAGTGCTATGGGAGATTGGAGTCTCCTAACACAAGTTTTTATACTTAAAAGGAGACCTCATTCCCGGTTATAATTTTTATGTATGATCATTTACTATATAAAATATTTATTATGTATTATTATTTTAAACCAATAATAGAAAAACTTACTACTTTTTAAAAAAATTATATTATAAAATCTTAACAAAAAATAAAAACCTGTGGTCAGACAAACCCGAATAGGTTAATTAGCTTATCGATAGCTAAAGTTGTAGCGTCCATCACTACATTGCAGTACTTTCGGTTGCAGTGATACCAGTTTAATTTTACAAAATTGCATACATTTGCTACGAAGTGGCAAGTCGATTCGACTTATTCAGCCTCTAATTTGTATAATTTTTTGATAAAGAGTAGTTATCGATTATATTAAATTATAATATATTCAGAATCGCATTAGGATTGTGAATAATGAAACGTGCTATCCTTCTTTGTTCGTATCAGGCATGGTTGGTATGGAAACTCTAAAATTTAGGAGGGTTATGCTAATGCTGACACATTATCTCTCTATACTGAATCATAAGATCGATAGTCCGCAGATACTAGAGAGTGTACGCATCTTAGTTCCCCGTAATATATGACAGGAGTCAGGGCTGCAGCTAGCACTAAGCCGCCGGCCTTGTTTGCTAGCGCGCCCTGTCGCACGCACCAAGCGCGGCGAGCATGGGCGCTTTACGAATGATTGGTGACATACTTGCTCAGAACGATGATCTTGACTTATTTGCTGATGGATTGAGTAAACTTATAAGTAAATTAAGAAATATTGTAACTGATATCGTATAATTTTTTAACCCTGAAATTTATTATACTATTTTAAAGATGTGTAATATTTTGTTTGACTATTTTGGCCTTTCTTGTTTTGTTAATTTGACTATTTTCATTTTATATTATTATTTTTTATTTTATTTGTTCTACAATTATTTTGACTTTTTTTTAATTTAACGCGATTTATTTGGTTATTTAATGTTATTTGTTTTATTTAAATATGATTATGACTTAAAATAGATAATTTTAACCTAATGTATCTAATGTTACAAGCATGTTGGATGCTACCATCTATTAGCTGTAAGCATGTATCTCATAAATAAATAAATAATAATAAATAGGATTGAGCTGAATATTTTGATCATTCGGCAAAATTCACTACACATCTTAATGTAATGTAATGTACATCACAAACTAATTTAGTTGATATGAAATAAATTTTCGTTAACATATTTATTTTGTGTACTAAATTATAAATATTTTAAAATCGCTTATTTCTCACTTCTTGAACTGTGCTGGCGGCACTTGATATTTTACGAAATTAATCAGATAATACGAGTTTTAACGATAATATTATGATAAAAGTATTCACAGATGAAAAGCCACGTTGCCCTTTTGTAAATTTGACGGTTTTGATTGTTTTTTGCATGAAAATACACTGCAATTCGGCATTTTTGTCGGAGCTCAATTGACTGGCGCGATCACTTGCGTAATGGCCAAAGAGCAAGCATTTAAGGGAAGTAATGGTGCACAATTCATCATCATCATCATCATCACAGCCCTTCACAAGTCCACTGCTGAACATAGGCCTCCCCCCAAGTAATGCCACAAAGCACGGTCCTGAGCCACCTGCATCCATCGACTTCCTGCATATCTTACCAGGTCGTCACTCCATCTAGTGGGGGGTCGCCCTACACTACGCCTACCGGTACGAGGCTGCCACTCGAGAACCTTTCTTCCCCATCGGTTATCGGTTCTTCGAGCTATATGGCCGGCCCATTGCCACTTCAGCTTACTAATCCGTTGGGCTATGTCGGTCAATCTGGTTTTACTGCGGATATCCTCATTTCTGAGTCTATCACGCAGAGAAACTCCGAGCATAGCCCTCTCCATAGCTCGCTGAGCGACCTTGAGCGTCCTCATACGGCCAGCAGTGAAGGACCACGTCTCTGATCCGTAAGTCATCACTGGCAACACGCACTGGTTGTACACTTTAGTTTTCAGAGATTGAGGTATACCTGACGAGAAGATATGTCGTAATTTCCCGAACGCTGCCCAGCCGAGTTGAATCCGTCGATTGACCTCTCGGTCGAAATTGGACTTACCTAGTCGGACTATTTGTCCCAGGTAAACGTACTCGTCAACAACTTCGAGCATAGTGCTCCCAACAACTACCGGCATAGGTGTGACATGGACATTAAACATAATCTTTGTTTTGTCCATGTTCATCTTAAGACCTATCCGTTGGGAGGCACTATTGAGGTCATTGAGCATAGTGCTTAAGTCCTCCAGCGATTCTGCCATAAGGACTATATCGTCGGCAAATCGAAGGTGAGTGATGTACTCGCCATTGATGTTAATACCGTATCCTTTCCAGTCCAGTAGCTTGAAAACGTCTTCCAAAGCAGCGGTGAAGAGTTTCGGGGATATAACGTCACCCTGTCTTACACCTCTCTGCAGTTGGATAGGTTTCGAGCTCTGGTTCTGTACTCGGATAGCCATCGTAGCCCTACTGTACAAACACTTCAGCACTTCAATATACCGACAGTCAACTTGGCACCGCTGAAGGGACTGCAGCACCGCCCAAATTTCGACGGAATCAAAGGCTTTCTCATAGTCCACATACGCCAGGCAAAGTGGCAAATTGTACTCTTCAGTCTTCTGTACAATCTGCCGCAGGGTATGTATGTGGTCTATGGTACTGAAGCCTTTTCGGAAACCGGCTTGTTCGGGAGGCTGGAAGTCGTCGAGTCTGCGTGCGAGACGATTCGTAATGACTCTCGAAAACAGCACGTAGACGCGGCTCAGAAGGGAAATCGGTCTGTAGTTCTTCAAGAGAGCGTTGTCGCCTTTCTTAAAGAACAAGACCACCGCACTTCTGCTCCACGCCTCTGGAGTAGTGCCACCATGGAGGACGGAATTAAAGAGCTTCTGAAGGACTTCAAGTACCGGTGTTCCACCCGCTTTCAGAAGCTCCGCTGTAATTCCATCCTCGCCTGGGGCCCTGCCGTTTTTAAGGTGCTGGAGAGCCATTCTAATCTCGCTTAGACTGACGTCCGGGATATCATCGGAATAGTGTCGGATAAGACTTGCTCTTGGATCGTTACTCACACTTGCGTGTGGCTCCAACGATGATGTGTACAGCTGCCCATAGAACCTCTCAATCTCACTCAAAATCTCAGGTGTCCCGGAAACGATGCTGCCATGGTGCACAATTAATTTTATATAACGGCTAAGAATCGGACTCTCGTACCTTTTACAGAGGGGTATTCCTTGCGATGCCGATGCCGTCTCTTTTGGTTTAATACTCAAAGTATAATTAAAGGCTTGAAGTGAATTTTGACGCATATGAACTACTATGATAAAAAGTCCAAGTTACTTAGTCCGTTTAGACGCCTTGAGAATTTGATATGTTATCATTACAGTCTGTCTGCTAGTTTAAGCTGACAGTAAAAACTACGCCAGTATATTCTAAATCTATGGAAAAAAACTACCAAGAACACAGCAATGTGACACATCTACATATTGTTAAGAATAAAATAAAATATAAGAATTATTGAAGTGAATGTTTTATAGCCAATGTCACAATAAATGAAAAAAGAGACGAGAAGCCGGTGTCAAATGTCAACTATCAAAGGCTGTATGGCTTAGTTCCTTTGCCTGCTCTCTCGAGCGAATAATAAAAAGAACAATATCAACTCAAACTCAACTTCATCAACTTGAAAGTTGTCAACAGTAATCTATGGTTGTCAACAACGAGCTGAAATCGTTCGTTGAGCTATGTACGAATTTTAAATCAAATTTCAATTATTATTGCAATATATGAGTTATCCGTGAATTAACAAGAAGTGTCATTACTAATTGTTTCAAATCTGGATGAGAATACAATGATTGCGGCTTCAGAACCCTTGGTATAATTATATTTAAGAACTACAACTAAAAATATTTTAAGTTTTATAATTTTCGTTTTTAAATAGTACTGTTATTACTTAGTGTGATTCATAATTTTACCAATAATTATACATTAAAAATATTCCTATAATTGTTTACATATATCCCGGTTATCAAATATCGCTTTAAAATTTTAGTTTGAAATTCAAAATATATACTATAGGCGCTATACTGTGCGGAAGGGCTCTGTATGATAATTTAAGATATTAGTTTTCGGTTCTTTTTTTGGCAATAAACAATGTATAGTAGAATGATGTGTAAATACATTATTTAAACAAAAAAAAAATTTTTTTTTGATTTTAATATTTATTCTTTATCCACAAATTATAGAGATTCTTTGTAGAAATAAGCTAGTTATTTTATGGTAAAAAGTACTTTTTCATCTTAGTCTGAATAAAATAATTATATAACTACAGCATATTTATTTTGTTTATAAAATTTATGATTTACACATTTTGTTACATTACTGATTATTTTCAACAGGAGTTTGTGCCTCATGGCAGGACAGTGCTTGCAAAGCATCCTGGTCAAATTTATAGCAAGGGCCACAACAATTTTTCATCTGAGAATTCTCTTATGTACAAATTGACCAACTTTGCCATAAAAGATGAAAGTCTTCTTGAAAGCAAAGAGTCTAAAGAAGAGTGGTGGTGTATAAGGGAAGTATATTATAGGGATGTTGGGGGTAAGTTATATCAAAGTTTTTTTAAGTACATGATATGTATTGCTGTATGATTTAACATGATTATTAGTATATTGTTATTTATAATCATATTTGGGACTTAACAACTTCTTACTGGTGGGTTATTCCATTTATCCACCCTAAGAAATCCACCCTAGGGTAGGTACTTGGAAATGCATGTTTTTTATCCACCCTAGATGGGGTGGATAATAGGAATTCACTTTTTGATTGCTGTTCCGCCTTTCCACTCCAAATATAGTTCTACAGAAACTATTTTCATACTTTAACATGTTATTAATTAATTTTTAATAACCACAAATAAATAAAAATCATATTATGTATTGCATTGAAACCTAATTAAACTTCCTTGTTTTAAATTAAATTATTAATTAAATACAATGGTATATCCTGTCTAAATTCCTCTCTTAATAAAAGACATTTTAAAATTTGTTAAGTACCACACTATTGCAAATACTCTGTTTATATAATTAACAATACATTTATTTAATTTAAATACCTACTTCAATAAAATATACTTGAAATTAATTGCAGGAAAACATTTATTTCATCTTTAGATATTTTCAAATGGATGTAAATTATATCACATTGAATGATATATAATTGAACAATTAAAAGTATTTCAGTTTTGTCTATAAGGTAATCTTGGGCTAGTTTCTATCATGTTTTTTAAATGACTGTACACAACCGAGAGGGAAAATTGGTAGAAAAATAATATACAAATTCAGAGTATCCACCCTAGGGTGGATGAATGTAATAAACCTTATTCGTATGAAACTGCCACTTGAGAACCTTTCTTCCCCATTGGTAGTTAGTTCATTGAGATCAGTTTGCTTGAGATATTTACAAACAATACAATACATGAACAAAAGAAAAGCATGAACAAAGTACAAACAAACAATGTACAAAGCTTAAAAAAGGGACGCCTGGCAGATGTGAAACCTCGAAATTATATTTTGTTTAAGTTATATGCATAAAAGAACAGATTACGACAGGAATTAGATAGCTATAATGAGAAGATAAAGCTTTGCAAATTTTTTACCATAAAATAATGACTATTTATTATAATTATAATTATTCATTTTCAATTCATAATAAACCATACAAAATGATATTTTTAAACTCATATATCACTATAAATTAGCCGATAGCGTATTTGTGCCATCTAGCGTAATCTTTAGGTACCATCGTGAGAATCAACCAATTTTCGTTCGATAAAATGACTTTACCTATAGAATTAAGTAGATAGCGCTATTAAAATTTTATATATTGGAAAGTAGACAGAGAAACCTAACTGGAAATAACTAAAGGGAGTACTATTCTTTAAAAACCTCAATACATTCTTCTGTATTCTTTTGATTTATTTAATTAAAATTTGGGCTTCACGTTAAAAAAAGATTGTAACACTTATTTTCCTCTAAAATTAAACCTAGGTCTCATACTTTATGCTACTGTTCAAATTGATATTTTTAATTCATATGGTAATATAAATATTGAGTTATTAAACCTTTAAATATGCCTAACTTAATTAAACTTTAATACTAAAGATTATTTATTCTGTGCTAAAGAGTCCTGTACCTATATTTAAAGTATGAAGAAATGTTTATTGAATATTAAATTTCATTTTTAAAGATTTTTTCCTTTTCCTCGCCGATTAGCACTTCAACACACTTATATTCATCACAATGAACACTATTATCCTCCCATTTTCACCGAAAATCTTCGAAAAAGCATAAATTTTTAACAAACACAACAAAAACAAACATAAACATTGAAATATGAAGTGAACTTGATACGAGGGGCCCGCAACCACTTCGCTAGTCGCTAACGCGCTCCTAAACAACTTCATAGCAAAGCCAGGCTTGTGGCTCAATAGTAATTGCTATATAAACATTTCGTAATTATATTTCATTATAGAATATTTTGCCATAGGTTAGAAAGAGAGTGATTGTCTTCTCGAAAGCCCCGTAAAAAGCCCACGCCAGTGAGGGAGACAACTAATCGCTCTAAACTCACTTTTTATGACAGCAGCAGTATCGCATCAATATAAGAAAGTTAAATATATAATGATTTATTATATATATTTTCTCTTCTATTTTAATCTTAAAGAAGCGAAAATACGTAGCCCAACTTCAATTTATACTTTAGTGAATATATGATTCAAAGTTGTCAAGCCCAGAAGTAATTCTTAGTAATATTGAATATTTTATTTGTTCACCCTCTTTCCTTTATGTAAAAGAATATTAAAATAGTTCTTGTAAATAATTGTTTTATTTGATTTACTTTAATTTATACTTATTTATGAAATAATTAGCATTTATTTTTCACTGTGTATTTAGGTCATTTTAAGTAATAAATTAAAAATTCAACTGTTGTTTCTAAAAATTGGTTTTTAGAAACAAGAGTTGAATTTTTAATCTTACCTTTTACATCATCGCCACTTGTAGAACTTTTGTAGTATAATATTCACAACTCTTAACACTGGCTCATTATCACACCAAGTCTTTTGGGGATACACATCCTACCTCGGAGCACTCCACAAAGCAACTGACTGCCGGCGCTCAGTGCAACAACCGAATGGCGTGCTACCCCCACTACTTGTGTGTATGAGACAGTGTATTGAATCTATTTAATAGACACAAACACTACAATGTATGCTATAATTAGTATAATAATAATATTACGTCTTATTTTATCAGAAAATGCTTATTTAAATCAATGATTGTCAATGGTAAACCATTGGAACACAAATTTTATAATTTTCCAGTAATATTACATTTGGTCAACAACTGGTGTGAAGCATCAACGTTTCGGTAAGTCTGCAGTTTGTGATCATATCCTAGGTGGCCCCAACCATTACGTCAGATTTGATAGACCACAAATCCTTGCGAAAGAACACCGATTCCTACCAAAGATGATATGTGAGGCTATTGAAATTAAAAAACATCGTAATTTCAATAGAGAAGAAAGCTGCCTACCTGCTTGGGTCCCTATAATCAATAAAATTAACACCATACCACTGCAGGATCTCAGGACATAGTCAGTTCATTTTGCATAGATCGGACCATAAACAATAATTAAAAAAGCTGAAGGTACTCCAGGTTTAACAATGACATCGGGACGTCAGTCACCTCAGTCCCCCGTGACCACCGTGACCGTGACCGGGTGCTGGAAAGCACCCGAAACGTCGTGAATTAAAAATAAAAATTAAACGCGATAAAATCCGGAAAAGTAGTTTTAATTTTTTCTTTTAAACTCATATTCATTTGAGATGCTTCAATAATTTTTTATGGTAAATTCTTCAAAAATTCACAATTTTCCAGTTGTTGACCAGTGGTTTATTACTGGTAATATCTATACTACAAGTTTGTACCAATAATTGACCACCTACACTTTTTCTACAAACGATGCAATAGAAAATAACTTTTTTTCAAATATGTCTAAAGCGATACAAGATAAATAAAGGCGCGTAAGTTGGAGAAACAAGCCAAAAATATAATATTCCCCTTACAACTATCATAAATAAAATGAAACTGAAAAAAAAAAACAATTTTATGAGCCTTGTGGCTTTAATAATTACATATATGATTTAAAGTTATGATAGTTACTGATTACAAAACTTAATTAAGTTCATGAATATTAATAATAAAGTTATTCTTCAATAAAAACATTCATTTTTTTACTGGTTCACTATTGGCACAATGTCTGACACTGGTACAATCTGGTCCACCTTAGGCACAATGTGACTTGCCACATTTGTTTATAAATATAAATAATCTTAATAGCTGTTAATTTCAATATTAATATCGGAATAAGCCACAGGATTATACAATGGACCCCCAGTAATCCGACAAACATTCTGCAGGGCAGTGTCAAACTATCGAATTTGTTGGATTATAGAGTACTACCTAACTATCCCTATAGTCCGGAATTTTTTACAAAAGAATACCTTGTAATCAATGATAAGATTCTATATATTCTATTTATATATATATATATATATATATATATATATATATATAAATATATGTAATACATATAACATATGAAGTATGATTTTTACTCTGAAGTACAAATCATACTTCATTATGTATGTCAAATTTAGTAAATTAAACAACACAATAGAGAGCTTACATTTTATTATAAAATTAACATTATTAATGCTATAGAACTTACAAAAAATATGCAATAACTATACATTGGGAAATAATTGTGTACAAACAAATGTACATACTAAAATAATCAAAAGTTATGAATCAGTTAATTTAAGAAGCATCAATTTAAGTGTTATCAAGAAGCAATTGTCAAAATAAATATTCAATAATAAATAATAGACCATGTCGGTGTCATTACAGGGGGTGCTGGATTAGACAGGGGCTGGATTATCAGGGGTCCACTTTACTTTACTTTATTTTTAAGGAGTATGATGATTTTTACAATAATTGAGTCACATCATCAAAATTTGTTTATATTCCATTGGTTATATTCCATTAAGAATCAAAATGCATTGTCACCCCTGAGGCAAAGATGGAATGCTTTGCTTCCTGTAAAAAGTTTCTCTGATTTTCTACACTCGCTATATGAAACACAGCAGCATTAAGCTGCTATTTTACAGTGGTATTCTGTGAGAGCATGGTCCTTCTCCAGTCAAGCCGAGCCATTCATGCTGCAACCATAATATAGCTGCAGCATGGCTCTTCCACGGCCTAGTACCAGTAGGCGAAGTGTAGGGCGACGCCCCACTAGATGGAGTGACAACCTGGTAAGACATGCAGGAAATCGATGGATGCAGATGGCTCAGGACCTGTGCTTTGTGGCATACCTTGGGGGAGGCCTATGTTCAGCAGAGGACTTGTGATGGGCTGTAATGATGATGGCTCTTCCACATTGTATCAGCCTAGTAGGTCCCACTCCATAACCAGAGAAGTCATCCCAATTCTTAATGTTACCACTGCCATGCTTCACAGTCATTTTTGTGTATTTAGGATCGAGTGCCTTATTCACAGATTGGCATATCATGCAACATACATACTGCTTGCCATCAGAGCATATTCTATTTGTCTTAGTTTTGTCCGAAAAAAGTACATTCTTCCGCTGCTCCTCTCTCCAGTCTTGATACTTCCTTGCAAACGATAGTTGGGCCTTTGTGGTGTGATGTCAACATGGGTACCCTCCTCTTTACTTGCCCAAACTACTTTGTCTCCACTAGCAGTCTTCAAACAGTACGGCTCTATGATTGCCCTAGGGTAATCCTCACAAAACACTATTCTCATTTTTTTATTTCATTTGAGACTAAATGGGTCCTGCTTGGCAAGGTGAACTATTCTTAAATCCTCTTATGATGACGTTTTTCTGGCTTTAATTTAGCTGGGGACTATTATAATACTTAGCATCATCGTTTTTGAGCAATGCAAGTGATTTGGAATTTTTTATACAACTAATTAAGACCACACAGCTTTATTATTATAATTATTTTTTCCCATTTTTATCAAAAATAAATAGCAGAAAATATATATCATAACAATAATAGCCTGAAGATTCAATAAAAATAGTAATGGGTTCTCCTTTTATTTCACATTCCATTTTCAAAATGATGAAAAAAAAAATTTCGTTCTTAATTATTTGTCCAGCCAATATTTCGGCAACTTTATGAGTTCCTATGATTCAATAAATAGATGAATAAAAAGTTACATTATTTTTATAAGATTATTACTCTAATAATACAGATCAATCATAAGAATATTTAACATCACTATCAGAGTATGCTTAGAAACAAATTGTGCACTGAAATTATAGTGTAAACATAGTATTGGCTTCATACTATTAATCATTTTTAATTATATGAACATCACTGTATTTTGCCACCTCCGCTAAGCCAATCATTTGAGTTATGTCGGTTACTCTGGTTCAATTACAAATATCCTTATTACTAAGAGTATCATATCACAGATTACTGAATGACCTTGGAATTCCTCATATGGGCAGTGGTGAGGACCACACCGCAGATCCGTATGTCTTCAAGCAGGCCATATTCTACAATTAAATAAAAAGTCTGCTAATAGAAAACTAACATTTAATAAATATGTTTGAAATTTGACTAAATTTAATAAGCAACATAATAAAGATAGCAACAAATTTCAATTTAATTTTTTTTTTACTACGTTACTTCCAAACTTCTCCAAGCGATGTGCATTTACTGGAACAAACACAACTTTTTCATCTACTTGCTTTTTGTGAACTTAAGGTAACAAAACTAATTGTCGACTGTGATAAGAGCTTAAGTTTTGAATTATACATTTTTGGAACGGCTTAACACTTGTAAAAATGTTATTTATACATGTTGCACTAGATTCAGCAATACACATGGGCTCCAAAAATAAATTAAAGACTATAAGATTTAAACAATGATGCAATTTAATATTGGCGGAGGAAGCTTCTAGGAGATAATAATAATTGATATTAGTTTCCACGTATTACAACAGAATTTTATGACACAGTGTTATACTTTTTGTTTGAAGTTTTGCTCATTGATGGCGAGAAAGTTCCTTTAGCAGATCTAAACATATGAGTAAAGTATTTGGTATACATCCTACTGCTGGAAGCCCCTTATTTCTGTAACAGAAAAGAGTTTGAGTGCCATCCTAATGTAGTTGGTAGGCATTAATTCTCAAAATCTTATTTTATAATTATCTGGCCGTGTTTGTAGGCCTCATGTTGTTTGTGCATTGATTTGTTATGATTTAAAATTCTGGATGTCTGGCATCCGAATAATTAGCACTCAAGTCTAAAACTTTTCCATAGGTATTCAGTATCAAGTCTTTCTGGCAGAATCACTAACTGTTTCATCCCTAGATATAATTATGTGTGTGTTATTTTAAAATAAAGATATTAATAGTTACTTTGCAATCATCCGCTCAATAAAATAAAATGATGTGTCTTACCTAGTTTGAAGAGCACCTCCCGCCCTTCATCAATTGCGTGCACTAATCCCGTCATCCCTAATCCCAACACCACTACTCCCAGCACCACTACTCCCAACACCACTATTCTAGGAAAGACACACCATCGACGATAATACGACACGTGTTTCGCCTCTACACGAGGCATCTTAAGGTGATGTAGACATTGTCTATCATAGTAATAGAAGTGGTGTTGGGATTAGTGCACGCAATTGAGGGAGGGCGGGAGGTGCTCTTCAAACTAAGTAAGACACATCATTTTATTTCATTGAGCGGATGGTTGCAAAGTGACTATTAATATCTTTATTATAATGGATTTCCGCAAAGTAACACCTGATTCTATTATGTGTGTTATTTGTATACGTTAGTAAGATGTGTATGCAAATAGGAGAAGAGTTTAAGCAAGCAATTATTATATTGAAACTAAATTCTTTCAGCCCTCGAAGAAGATGATTCACAACAAGCACCAAAAGAAAAATATGAGGACTCTTTCAGACCTCCAAGCAGATTAAAGCCTGACTTTAATATTTCAATCAAGTCAGAATTACTCAGTGGAGTGAAAAAAGCAGAAGCAGATGTTGGGTCTGGCACATCACTTGGTGGGAGTGCTAATAGTTCGAGTAATATGTCCAAGAAGTTTAACCTTAATTCTACACAGAGTAAACGACCAATGAAGAAACCATTGAATCCAAAGACTGATTGCTGTTATGAAGAGGAGCTATATGTTAAGGGATGTACAGCTGTTTGGTCGAAAGGTTAATATCTTAAGTTTTATTACATTTCCTATTTATTTTATATATTATTCTAAACATATTAATACCATTACAGCCTATCAAAAGTCCATTGTTGGACCTTACGGGGGCATTTCCTAGAGATTTCCACATAGGGAAATAGCTCAAGGACATACCTCATAATTTGAATTCTTCTAGTTTTCCGGCGAAATTATTTACGATTAGTGTGATACCTTATAATTGTAAAGCTTTGCAAGCTGGTCGGGAACTGCAATTATTTATTTTAATTGTTTGTAACCAAGAAGATGCTGCTGTTTATCTCCTGGTTGCGCTTACCTCTATTGTCTCTTATGTCATCCACAAGATGATATGGGGCAGGGGAGATTCTTACATTGCCACTATGAAGTTAACTTAAAATTTATATTAGACCATGTATATGATGAATAGGAAATAGTCCATGCATAGTCTAGTAGATAACCTGTGAATATATATAAAAACAACATGAATAATAAGATTTTGTTTCTTATTACAAACTAGTCTTTTTGTTTCTTATTATAAACTAGTAGTAGATTTTAAATGTCAAATTGTTGAATAGAGAAATTAAGTTATTTGTTCAGAATTTTTCAAACTGTTATTTTGTTGACATAAGTAATAATTTGGATATTAACACGCATTGGATACCGAAACATTTCTTGTGTTCTAAATTAAATATAGAAATAGATAATTTTAATTACGAAGGACTTGTTCGATCGTTACTAAGATCAAGGTGTGCTGGTATAACAACTGGTAGCAGTAGAGTAAATAAAATGAACTTAAAAGATCTAAGCAAAATAAAAGGAACTATCCCATATTATTTCTACAAACAGAAAGAGAAAAGTAAAGTAGAGTCTAAACAAAATTTAATGAATAATTGTAATGATTCAATCTTTTTTCGATAGTGAAAAAAAAATATACCTTACTACACCAAAACATCGCTGGGATTTTACATAAAAAAGACTTATTAGAACTTGCTCTTTTTGATTTTGAAAATAAAAATATTAGTATTGATATAATATGCATTAGTGAAACTTTTATGAAACAGGGTACGGAGTCTAATTTAAAGCTTAATAACTACAAATTAGCATCGGCCTTTTCAAGACCGAATCAGCGTAGAGGTGGCACCTGCATACTAGTTAGGAAGGAATTAGATTATCAACCCATAAAAAACCTACCCAACTCGGTAATTTATACATTTGAATTCTGTGCTATTGAGATAGTTACACTAGGTATTTGCGTGGTATGTATATATCGGATTCCAAATTCTATTATAAAAAATTATTTTTTGAAAAATTTGAACAACTTCTAAATAAACTTACTAAAAAAAAATAATAAAAGATTTATAGTTTGTGGAGATTGGAACATAGATATTTTGAAAAATGATATTCATTCTAATGAACTTTATTCTATTTTATACAATCATAACTTAAATAACCACATTTGTAAACCAACTAGAAAAATGTCGTGTATTGATTTGATTGTCAGTAATCTTCCTAATGTACAACCAAATATTCACTTTTTAGCACTATCAGATCATGAAACTTGTCAAACAATAACTTTTCAAATCGTTTTGGTTTGAGGAAAAAAGAGACATTAGTAGTGAAAACGTGAAAAAATTTCTGTCCTATATTTCGACCCTATCATTTTCTGATGTATATGAGACTGAAGATACTAATTTGGCTTTCAACTACTTTCATGACACTCTTACCCTATTTTATAATTTGTGTTTCCCTAAAATTATCGTAAAAATAACAAATAAATCCATTAAAAGTAAGTGGATTACACGGGGTATTAAAAAATTCAGCATTAATAAAAGACGTTTGTATATGAAATATCGTCTTTCGACAACAAACAAAAAGAGAAATTGGAAAATATATTACAAATATACAAACATTTTAAGGAAATGCATTATGCAAGCCCAAAAACTGGACAATACACGCTACCTACTTAATTCTAACAACAAAAGTAAGGCAGCTTGGCAAATAATAAAAAACGTTAATAATGATATAGCAGTTATTAATGACATTACTACAATAACCTCTAATTGCAATACATATTATCAACCAGATAAAATAGCGGAAGTGTTTAACAATTACTTTATAAATTTAAATAATTACATTAAAACACCAAATAAAATAATAACCAATAACGACTATACGTCTAAATTAACATTTTATCCCAATTCTATATATCTAGTTCCAATACATAACACTGACATTATAAAAATTATTAATTCTTTAAAAAATACAAATTCTACAGGTTATGATGATATTAGTACTAAAATCTTAAAACAATGCTCCAAATATTTGTCTTTCCCACTAACTTGCATTATCAATTTACCTTTTGTTCAAGGCAATTTTCCCAACTAGACTAAAATTTTCTGTCGTTAAAGCCACTACACAAGAAAGGTGATAAAACTGACATAAACAATTATAAGCCCAAACACTGATATCTGTTTTATCAAAAGTGTTTGAAAAGGCCATACATACCAGAATCTATAACTTCTTTAACATACATGAAATATTAAAACCAGAGCAATATGGGTTTACAAAAAAAAAGTCAACCACTTTAGCATGTTTCAACTTAATAAAACTAATAACAACTAGCCTAAACAACAAAATACCTATAACATCCATTTTCATTGATATGTCCAAGGCATTTGACTTCGTTGACCACGAATTATTGTTACACAAACTTAGCAGGTATGGTGTAAGAGGCAATGCATTAAAATTAATACAAGATTATTTAAGTCAGCGAAGACAATGCGTTGAGGTATCAAGTTACTCAGGACGCAATAGAAAAAATTATAGATCACAGTATTGCGAAAATAAATGCGGAGTGCCACAAGGAAGTATACTGGGACCTTTATTATTTATAATCTATATCAACGATCTTTGTAACTACTCATAAATGTGTGCTATATGCTGATGACGTTACCATTAATATTGAAAATAATAATAAATATTTTGACTACGAACATGAAATAAATAGGACCTTAGAAACAATAATAGATTGGTTAAGACACAATAATTTACAAATTAACATCGAAAAAACTAAGATGATAAGATTTCAGACATATAATAGTAAACAAGAACCACTTAAAATTGAATATGGGAAAAACATAATCGAAGAAGTTAACCATACTATTTTTTTAGGTGTAACAATAGACAAGTTCTGTAATTGGAAGACACATATTGATAGCCTATGTAAAAAGTTAGATAAATTTGTCTTTGTTTTATATCGGTTAAGACGAGTGGCTAACATAGAGGCCGCACTCGCTGCCTATCATGGATATGTTTCTTCGATCCTACGTTACGGCTTAATAATATGGGGTAATTCTGTTGATTTAATTAGAGCTTTTCGTGGACAGAAAAAATGTGTACGGTCTTTATGCGGAGTACACCAATTAGATAGTTGTATTCCCCTTTTTCGCAAACATAAAATATTGCCGCTTCCAGCATTATACGTTTACGAAATCTGTATCTTTGTTCACAAAAATAGTAATTTATTTGAAAAACACAATGATGTTGTAATTAGGACTAGTAGAAATATACATAAATTGTGTGTACCAAAGCAAAGAATACAACTCTACTCAAAAAATGTATATTGTATGGCAATACATGTTTACAACAAATTGCCTGTTTGTTTCAAAAAGATGAATATAGGAATCTTTAAAAGTAAATTGTTTCAATTTCTTTTAAATAAGTGTTATTACTCAGTAAATGACTTCTTAAATGATATTTACTCAAATTGTATTTATTGAATTGCTGAATTTAAATTTTTTGAAATGTTTTAACTAAAGTATTATGAATTGATTGATGATTGTTTTATATAGATATGGTTTCCATAAATATTGCGGCAAGTATCTTTATACTATATAATAATTAGTGTCTTAGTTTTCTAGTTTATTCGAAAAATCGTCTATCTGAAAATATTTGTACGCCGGAAACGGCAGAATATTTAGGATCAAAATTCTTTTGTAACAACAGTAATGTACCATATTCTGGCAAATAAAGCATCTTATCTTATCTTATCTTATTTAGTGATTCACCCTAGCTTTATTTGGTGTGATCTATTAATGTTGCATTATTTAGATTTAAGATATACAAAGATCATTTTAGTTTGTTCAATTAGACTTTTTTTAGTCCCTTTTCAGCCATCTTATATGTGGTAGAGCCATGCTGTAGTTATAATAGTAGTATAGTTGTAGCACAAATGGGTCGGCTCGACCGGGGAAGGACCACACTCTCACAGAATACCAGCGTGAAATAGCACCTTAATACTGCTGTGTTTCGTATGGTAAATGTAGAGAACCGGAGACCCCTTTTTACTGAAAATGAGGCATTCCATTTTAGTCCTCACGGGTGACAATACATCTGCATTTTGATTCATAATTGAGGAAGAGGAGGAGAGAATTGAATTCAAAATATAGTCTACATTACTACTGGCATTGCTCTCTATCTGTTCATGAATCAAGGTTATCAAATTAAGTCTGGACAGACAGATAGACATACAAACATTTTAAAAATATTTATTCATGTCTGTAATAACATGCAAATAACCCCCCTTGGCTTAAGGCTCAATATAAGGCTGATGTTTCGATGTTACAGACAGATACTTCCATTTTATTTGTATGTGTAGATAAACTAATTCATCATCATCATCATTACAGCCCTTCATAAGTCCACTGCTGAACATAGACCTCCCCCAAAGTATGCCACAAAGCACGGGTCCTGAGCCACCTGCATCCATCAACTTCCTGCATGTCTTACCAGGTCGTCACTCCGTCTAGTGTGGGGTCGCCCTACACTTGATGGAGATACTTAAACTAATATATAAATATACTATATAAAAATACTAAAAAAAAACTTAACTGACCAGTTTTAAGTATTTTGTAACTGAGAATTATTGCACATCATATTACACAAAACTTAATCAACTTTGATTTTGAGTAAAATCAATTAACAAATTGTTTCAGGGTTGATCTCAACACCAGGTACAAAGCTGTCAGGACCTGAACATAGAGAAACTATTGCATGTTACACTATAGATAACCCCATCAAACATGCAGCTTTTTGTGATTTCCACATTGGTATAAACAACACAATGCTTATAGACGCTTTAAATTCTCAAATAGGAGATGTTAAGAAAAATATAAAAATAGAGGACACAACTGAGCACATTGAAACAAAAATAATGCCCTCTATATTACTAATGGACAGCAAATGTATGCGAGTATACGCCATGGATGGTAGGGAATACATAACAAGTATTCCTTTCCAAGTTAAAAGAGTTTGGCCTATGAAGTATGGAGTTTTATTGGAAAAAGATCCGACACCACAATTGCAAAGCTCAGTGCTACCAACTTCATTTGTCAAACATAATGAGTCTTGTAATAGCTCATTATCCAAATCAAAGACAAATTTTCCATTCAACATGAGCGCAAAGTTGCGAGCTGAATCCCTTCTAGGATATGATCAGGAATATCCTTTACCTACCTGTTTTTCGCTATCACATCCCTTGGATGAAGTAACACCTATATTGATGAAGTCGCCATCCCACGGACTACAGTATTATAATGACGGAGACGTACAAATAATATTTGTCAGTGTTGATCCAAGTATTATATTGCTATACGATTGGAAATTAGGTACACATTCTCTATGGAAGATTCGGAAAGCGTCACGAGATGAGTGTTTGAGCATGTGTCCGAATATCAATTCAACAACCACAGTTTTCAGCCAGTCTTGTGATTTTGTCGGGAGCCCATTGCAAAGTATTGTTAAGAACGCTACAAGTTGGAATGCTGGGAGCCCTCTTCAGTCTAAAAAAGGCTTGCAAACTCCAAATCGATCCCGACAAAACAGTCCATTGGCTAATATATTTCATCAGCAGGGTTTATCACCTCACGCATCTATCGGCCAAGCATCCTCTACATCAATGTTGGCCAATACGACAACACAGGCTCCACCGTCCTTGCCATTATATCCTGATATATGTTTGGATCATATTTGGACAGATACTCAAGTTATCCGGAGAGACCCAATCGAAAGTCCAACAGATACTAAAACATTCTTACACACAGATCTAGTTGGTCATGATTACCTGTGTTTTCTAGTCAAAGTAGGGGGAGCAAACAGACTGCAAATTATAAGACTGCAAAAATCACATTCACATGGCCAGACTATGAAGCGGAACCTGATTGTTGGTTCAGTTTCCTCCGTTTTTGCAAAAGATGCTGTAGTTCTACATGATTTAAAAATGATTGCTTTGATTGATGAGTCTGGGAATATTATATTGCAGTCAGGAAACAGTGTCGTTGGAAAGGTAAGTTGAACATATTATATTATGTATTAAAAAATTAAATGTACTTTTTTAATATGGGAATGTCCTCCTGAATCCACTACGGGAACAAAAAAAAGTTAGCACAGATTTCCAACGGCTAAAACCCCACAGTGGTCACCAACAGCGTATACGATAGGTCCTGAGATCTCTGTTCGGTACCCGATCCCTTTCTCGCTTTGCTTTACGGGAAGGATGTGCTGTACTTGTGTACCATGTTTCTTTGTTTTTTGTCATCACAGCCTGTCAAAGTCTACCGCCCCACAGATTACCTCATAAAGGGAGTATTTTTATAGTTACCACGCCTGGCAGCAAATGCAGTTTTTTATTACTTTCAGTACTCCGTCTCCTGTTTCAGTTTTCTTCTGTCACCTCCTACGAAATAAGACGGGTTGGTAGGCTGGGTTAGAGGGTACTCTTAAACCGCCATTCATAGTATACTTTGGTTTGCTAATGTGTATTGTTTGAGTTGTAGCAGTTATTAAAATAATTTTGTCATTATCGTTTAAATCCACTAAAATTTTCCAATATTTTTCTTAGTCATCTATTAGGATATAAATCTTATGGAATGGAATGATGTTTTCCAATATGCTATCACACAACAAGTTTAGATTTTGTTTAATTATAGGATTTTTTATGTCTAAATTTCTTTTTTTAGTAATACATAACATTATCAACCATTCCGAATCTACTGCTAGACATACTTTTCTTTGCAATGCATTAATACTAGTAGTCAGATATTTTAGGTCATTATTCATTTTAAAGGCTTTTTTTTTAAAAAAAAGGGTGACATACGAGCACACAGTCCACCTGATGGTAAGTGGATGCTGTGGCCCATAGACATCTACATTTAATGTAGCATAGTGGCTTAGCAATCAGTTGCAGCGTTGGGGGCAGCGGGTTCGAATCCCGCATGGTACTAGTATTTATATGGACTACAAATGTTTGTTTGTAAGCTGCCTCCACGATATAGGAGAAAATCTTAATGTCGGGTAAAGTTTAAACTAAACGAAAAAAATATCGAAAATAATATGAATGGAATAAGTGTCATGTTGATAAAAAAAATCTTTTTCAACATTCAGAAGACAAATGGCAAAGGAGGTCCCATAATATATTTAAAGTTTTAATAACTGCTTCTTTCTGTACAATGAAAACAAAAGTAAATAAAGCTGCCAAATAATTCCTGGTTGCAGGTGCATGTGGGCGGCGTTCTAGCGAGGCTTTTGGATTCGCCCTACACAAAGCGCTCAGTTCAGCCACTACAGTCGCTGCAATCGCCATTCCCCCGCCGAAGTAGTCTTTTGCCAAGCCGAACGGCTGATTCTGCCTTTGACGATTCTGCTTTGCATCTGCTTTCTCCGGTGCCGCACTCTTCTGCGTCTAGAATTGAACATAAAGAGAGCTTAGGTAAGTTGTTGTCTTAAAAGCAGTAAGATGTTATATTCACATCTTATCAACATAATAATAATCGCTATAAGATATCAATTCCATTGGTATCAACTAGGCAATATGTAAGTCCTCATATCCCGGTCTTGGAAATTCATTTGATTTTTCGGAGATTCAATCACTATGTTTCATTTTTTCGTTAAGGTTATCGTAAGTTAACAAGTGTGAAATTATTTTAACTAGTTTTTACCCGCGGTTCCACTCGCGGATATTTTTAAAAGCCGACAAATTTTTATTACTGAAATTATTTCTAATTATATATACAATCAAATACCATTTATTTAATTATTTTAAGTGTTTTTAAATTATGTCTATCAGATATAATATAGTCTAAGCTCGCTTCTGACTTTGCTCTATAAAATTCGTAAAGTTTCATCACAATCGGTTCAGCCATTTTGAAAATTAGCAAGGATTGACAGATGGACACAAATTTTAAAAATGATTGTTTATGTCTTAATAGCATGGAAATAGCCCCCTGAGTTTATTAGAGCGAGTTATTTCAATAGTACAGACAGACACTTCAACTTTATTTATGTGTATAGATTACATGTGAAGCAAAAATAAGTTTGATGTTTTCGTTGTTTCTTTATTAATGTTAATCTTCTTCCTTTATTATTACTAGCCGTTGAGCTTTTTTTTATTGATAATGGCCTTGGCTACTTGTGATTCAGCCAACGTGTATGATGTTCTTGTGTAGGCCTGCGCGCGCTGTGCGATGCAACGGGCAGCCGCGTTACGCTGTGCCTGGAGAACGGCGTGCTGTACCGCATTGCACTGCCCGGCCTGGCCGCCGCTGCGCTGCTGCCCCGCGCCGTTGCCGCGCTGCGCGCGCTACTGCCGCGTGACATCGCGCTGCAGGTCAGGCACGCATGCACGCACGCACATGTACACGCACTCACGTTTACGCATACGCACGCACGAATACGCACATGCACGTACAATCACGCACACGTGCGACTGCACGCACGTTCATGAACATACGTAACACACTGGCTCGTACACATGATCCTATCCGTTTCACAAGCATGTACTGTTTTTGTAAAAGTAAAGTGATAAACGAACTTACAGTCCATCTGATGGTAGTTGGTACTTTAATCTATAGATACCTGCAGCCAAATTCAAACAAAGAAAGTTACAGCTGCGTTGTCACCTCTGAGAACTTAGATGGAATGCGGTGCCACCAAATACAAGCACTGTAGTGTAGTGTTAGTACATAACCGCAATAAACGTACACACACGCGCATGCGCGTACTTATATGTTATATGGTAAAACCAAACTGCGCCGTGCTATGGCTGCAGCACAAATGGTTTGACTCGACAGGGAAAGGGTCACGCTCACACAGAATGCAACGTTAAATACCTGCATCATGCTGCTGTATTCTATATGCTGGTAACGAAAACCAAATTTTAGTAAACAAAGGTAACAACGCATCTACATTTTGATTCTTACCTGTGAGTAGATGTAGATGTTTATGTCGTCTATAATATACTAGGTGTTTTTTTTTACCGTCTGGAAAAAAAAAGGATGTAACAGGTGAACGGAATTGAAGCCTATGGCACTGATATTTTACAATTTTTTTAAATTAATATATTATGAAATTGATCTATCAATAAATAGTATATACTACTAATTGGGTGCGTATTATTTCAATTTCGGTAGTTTTTAATTGATTTATTTATTTAATTCATGTTGGAATATGGTTATGGGGTAAATGAAAGTCTGTGTGTACTGTACGAAATTCTGTATTAGAATGCCAACACAAAGTTTATCGTTTAACAAATAAATAATCAATAGACTTGTTTTGACTACATCCGTTATTAAAGGACTTTATGTAGACTAGTATTTTTGTACATGCCAACAGTTCAAAATTTTTGTTTTTATTTTTATTACCGAGATATTATTTCACATTAGTGGTATTTATTGATAGTTCAATTTCATTCGTTCACCTGTTTCGCCCTATTTTTTTTAGACTGGAAATAAAATCATCCAGTATAAGAAAGTCCAGCCATGGACTGTTAATAGTTTAAAGAAAAAGAAGCCCTTCCAATCTCTTTTGTACATTTTTAACCAGACACCAGCACCTACGTACATACTAATTTATATAATGACTATAAAAATGTTGGCTTACATTGACGCATCTCTCTCTTACAGGTGTTGATAAAATGGTACGGTGTCAGAAACGCGCCTGGCACGCAAGACATAACGCCAGAACAAGAGTGGGCGATGTTCTCGAAGCTTCTGCTCTCACTAATCGGTTATGACGTGGAGAGATTGGGACAGACACGGCAGAATGATGACGAACATACAGAAGTTGCAACGAAAAAGCAACGCACCTCAAGCGATGGCACACAGGATGACTGGGACTATCTGCTTAACTCTAAAATGCACAAAGTAATCGGCAATACCTTAGCAAACATCCTGAATTTGAATCCAGCACAACCAGATACCAAGCATTGTAGACCCAGTAAAACAAAAAACAGTGTAGAAATAGAAAAGTCATTTCAATTCAATCCTAACTCACTTTTGTTCCCATACACTCTTCAAGTGTTCTACTCGTTCCATTTGTTGTATGAAGACTTAAAATTGAACATACTACTGTCCAGCGACTTAAAACCACTGTCAGCGTTCCTGTACCAATTAGCCAAAGACTTGAGACTTAACAATTATGTGAATCACTATTGGCTGGATTTTCCTCTGGATTATAACTATGAATACGAGGAATCCGATTCGCAGGTGTCTGACGCCATTTTGAAGAAACTAACCCTACCGAGTTACTTTTCACCGGAGCCCCCTGTTATTTTCAGTTATATAAATTCGATGTTGAAGGATATCGATATCGGATACTATCCGCATCTGCCAGATGTTAATAATTCGTGTCGGGATCTTATTGAGGTAAGGCATATTATGTTTCAAAACTTAAAAGCAATTTACTAATTATTATTTACTATACTAATTATTAGTGTTAAATAATGGGATGCGAAGTTTCTTGCGCCGTTTCTTCTCCGGTCAGAGGAAACTCATTCCGAAACGGTATTTGATTTAGTTATCGTATAAATAATTCATTTCATATTATTACGTGCTTAACATTGACAGATCCTCACGATAGTGGGGTGTGGGCGCAGTGCCGGTGTACAGACGTTGAGCAGCCAGCAAGCGATGAGCAGCAGCACTCCCAGGCCCCGAAGAGAATGTGGGCCTCACACTTCACCGTATGCTCAAGCTGCCTTGTTGGCCTGTCAGAGAGGTATGTTGGTTTTTTAATCCTATTTTTAATAGTTTTTCTAAGTTGATATAAAAAATTGCTTGCTTACTTAAGTTACCAATTTATTATCTACCGAACGTCATTCTTATAAAAAATGTAAAAAACATGTTTTAATATGTTATTTGTTAAGAGTTTTCGCTAGTTGATCGCTAAATCATTATACTTAAGCATAATAGAAAGTGTTATTTTGTGATTTTCGAGCACGTGATACAAAAGGTGTACAAAACCTTATTACAAAATGAGGTTTATAAATGATCTGTGTCAAAAAGTATAATTATGTCTCGAGCTTACACTATGATTTAAGAAGAATCCTTCTCACGAAAGAAGTCCATTAGCTTTAGCGCCACAGGCTTCTCGAGATTGAATAGATTTTCTGTGAATTTAGACCGAATCCTCACGGTAGATTCTGTGAATCCTCAAAAGTTCGAGTTTTTTTTTAATTTCGTGAAGCAGTTTTCTTAAAATTTCTTCGAGACCCATGTTTGATCAATTCTATAATCTAATCAGCTCTTCTAATCACAAAACGACGTCGGTAGTCGTGAACCGCATTAAAATCGGTTGATTCGTTTAGAGGTATAACTTTCTTATAGGCTTTTTTAACTGAAAAAATTGCGTCGATTGCCGTAAATCACATCAAAATCAGTCGCTTTTTCGTGAAATATTCAATTTAAAAAAACGTAGTATTCCAAAATTATGATGTCATAATATGTGGAATTTGGAGCGCTTTGGTTTTGTAATTAGCGGAAAGTTCCAAGGATGGCCTGCAAGGTCAACCAATTAGTAGTTTTCCAGAGAACTGGATCGTCAGAGACGGGCCCAACCTTTGGTCACCTCGATCGCTTGTTTTAACTCCTGTTGATTTTTTCGTTTGGGGAGGTGCTTATCTACATGCATGTGGAAATATCAACCAGAGAGGAGTTTATACGAAGAATCCATACTGCTTTTCAAGTTATGAAGGAGATGAAAATGAAAATTACGCCCACAGAAGTGACAAGACGAGCCCGCGTTTGGGTCAGAAATCGCGGTCAACATCTTGAACACGAATAACAAATAATTTTGTTGTATTTGCCTGTTAAAAATTAAAAATATTTTGATTAAAACTACTTTTACGGATTTTATCGCGTTTTATTTATTTTTGATACCCGACGTTTCGGGTGCTTTCCAGCACCCATAGTCACGGGGGACTGAGGTGACTGACGTCCCGATGTCAAAGTTAACCCGGAGTACCTTCAGCTTTTTAATTGTTGTCTTTGGTCCGATCTACGCAGATTATAGAATATAGTAGAAAAATATTTGTCCGCAATTTGCTTTATTGTACACCCCAATTCCAAGAGTTGATGAGACATCAGCGTAAGTAATACCTCAAAAGAAAGGACAATAACTAAGCATGTTTTAAAAAGGTTTGAACAACAAAAGCTAGTTTTTTTTTATAATGGCATAAATACAATATTTCCTTTTTTTGTGCTTTCGTAAACTTTAATATGCCTAAAATGTTTTTCTGATGATAAAGATGCTTGGAGATTATTTTGTTTGAGTAATCACACATTACAATAATAAAAATTAATAACATAACCTTTTACTGGACACTATTAGCAATTAATTGAAAAAAAAAGGTTTTATTTTTAAAAACCTTAGAAATTCAATTTTAAAAAAGCAGCTGATTTGGTGTAAGTCAAGTTTAATATGTTCTAAATGGTATAAGGTATTATCCCCTTCAGTTATTGCACCCATCTTCCAAACATTTTGTATAATAGTTGATTTAATGCATTTCTCCAAAGCCCACTATACGGTGTTAATCGGAGACTTCAACACAAAACAGGGAGTTTTGTACCGCCAGTAGCGCAAAGTCAAGAATTTGCATTTAGAAAAAGCCAAAATTTTTCGGTGCTATTTAGGTGCTCTAAAATTATCACCACAATGAACCGTTGCAATTTACGTTGCTGGCAAAATATATCGCTAGCTATGTAGTGACGTTTATAGATATACGATAAATATTAACAGTTTTCATACTCGTACGTGGTAGAGCCACGCTGCTACGATCGAGGATAAATGTAGATGTCTATGGCCAACAGCATCCACTTACCATCGGGTGGACTGTGTGCTCGATTGTACTCATTTTTGTCTACCTTATTCTATACAAAAAAGCAAAGAATTAGGTGCTCTGCTGCTGCTGCTGATCGGCAGTTGCGTATACTCAGTGAGGTCGTAAAGACAGTCGCAAAATCAAAGTACTTTTGAAGTGAAAACTTCTTTAGCGGCGTTGTACACTTTTTTGTAATGGGTAAAAAATGTTAAACTCGCGTCAGGACACGTGATCTGATCGAAAATTCGTAAGACGGATGGAGAGTGACAGAAAGCCGGCGTGGCGTGGGAGAGGAAGTATCCCCCTCTTTTTTTACGGCGCGGCGAAAGTTTATGCCTGCGCCTGCTGGCAATTAAAGCAATTCGTGCAAAATTATTCCCTAATCATTCCAAAATATCAAAAATGCACAATGTTAATATTTAAGTATTCACTTCTGCCGGCTCTCCCGGAGTGCAACCAGTCGGTTTTTTTTGAAATATATTAATTTGTTCTTTTCAGGCATAACCCTGAGGGGCATAGACAACTTCCCTCCAGCGATAGGACTGCTCCTCCTCACAATATTCAGCCGCTGCAAGTCCCAGCCACCAGGGGACTGGCCGGCTGAGGCCTACTGCCTTGTCATGCGCGAGGACCTGGCCATGCGGGCCAAAACCGCATACACCATGAAAAACACCAACGAGTATTTGGAAAGTAAGTTTTTGAATGATTTTATTGGTTTTTAGCCTAAACAAATACATTTAGAGATTATAGACAATTTTATTTTTATTTAATAGAAAACTAGATAACTATACGTATGAATGGCGGCTTAACTAGGGAAGGACCATGCTCTATATAATGTTGCTGTGTTTCGAGTGGTGAGTGTATAATAGAAACAGACACGGTATTCCATCTTTGTCTTGGGTGACAACTCATCTATATTTTGATTCTTAATCGAGGATAATTGTCTATGGACCACAACATCTACTTACCATCAGGTGGACTGTGTCGGTTGTCATCCTCGTTCAATAGAAAAAAAACTATTCCTTACAAAAAGTTACGCTTTTTATTTTAAATATAAATCAAAAAGACCACGAAAAATCGATAAAGAACCGGTATTTCATGAAATTATCGATTTAGTACCCTTAATGAGCACCATTTTATTTGACTTTTGGCTTTTAACTTATCGATACACACATGATATTGTCACGCTACAGCTGTGTTTTGGCCGCACCACAAATGGGTCAGTTCGACCGGGGAAGGATCACGCTCATAACATACGTGAATAGCATAGCTGCATAATGGCGTGTATAATATGGTGGTTCTATGCATTTTATCAAATGCATCTTAGTCCTGAGGGGTGACAACACATGTGTATTTTGATTCTCAGTCGAGGTAAGAAGATAAAGATCCAGTTAGAAAATCCCTCAACTTGTGTGCTGACCTCCTGATGTTCCATTAATCAATATATAACATGAATCGTAACGTATGTTATCGATAAATTGATTACAACTAATTTTACGGATTTTATCGCGTTTAACTTTACTTTTAATTATTTTTTTATTTTTAATTCCCGACGTTTCGGGCGCTTTCCTAAAAAAATAATTAAAAGTAAAATTAAACGCGATAAAATCCGTAAAAGTAGTTTTAGTCAATGTGTAGTGTTCGCGTTAATATAAGTAATCATTACAATCGATAAAATTAATCATCCGAATCTAAAATTATTCCCATTTTATAACATGATTACAAATTTTTTTTTATTTATTTCAACAAGACCAAAAAAAAAAAAAAGCATAAAGGGCAAAAGTAAAAATAAACGCGATAAAATCCGTAAAAGTAGTTTTATTCCCATTTATTATTTCAAGCTTTGGCGATGGAAGCGTTAGAGAAAGAGACCGCGTATTCCGTAGTCAGTAAGCCTATTGAAGAGCCAGTACACAAATGCGACGAGAATGACACCAGCACCGGCATGGAGCACCTCAACACAAAGCTGCTTAGTTTGTTGTACCCAAGGGATCACCGGTGAGTTTCAGCTTTTTTTAAACTTTACCCCCACACTATGATTTTCTCCTATATTGTGAAAGTGGTTTACATAATTTTAATAATATTGACACATGGAATATATCTGAACTTGCTGTTCCAAAATACAGACTTCAAAAAATTTGCGCCTCATCTTTAGGTAGATGCATAACTATTATTCCGATTACCTGTAATATAACTGATTTGCCATTGTATAAATTCAAAGAGCATCCAAAAAGCATTGTTATTAAGGAAGTATATTATAAATCGGCTGTTCCCGCGACTTCGTCCGCGTGGAATTTATTACGATTGGATATTATGTTTTTTTATTTTTTGAGCGGAACCCTAATTCTTTTTCTAAAATGTAAATAGCCTAAATTACTCCTTATAACATCAGCTATCTGCTAGTGAAATTCTTGTCAAAATTGGTCAAGCCATTTAGGAGACTAGTCGGAATAAACTTACAGACTGACAAATATTTTACAATTTGTTTATTGCACTAAGTACTGTATATACTTTCATATGCATTTAGTAAGATAACACATCTTGATATTGCAAACAGATCCTTCAATTTATTTTTATAAATAAGATGATTTTTATAAGATAAGAATGCATGGTACGTCCATGAGCTTCCTTAGGCTTTTTCATTAATGTATATATTAAATAAGTACGAGGGCGGCACTGAAAATTTCGGGAATCAAGGAAGTGACACAACATTACTATTTAAAAATGTATTTATTGCTTTTCGAAGTATTCTCCGCGAAATTTGACACATTTTTCCATACGATGGAACCAATAATTGAAGCAACCATTCCATTCGAAAGTTGGGGTGTCCAAAATGGCCGTTTTGTAGGCGTCCACAGCTTCTTCAGGTGATGAAAATCTCTGTCCACGCAATTTATTCTTTATTTTAGGGAAAGTATAGAAATCATTAGGGCTTAGGTCGGGGCTGTACGGCGGATGGTCTAATAATTCTATGTTTTCTTGCTCTAAAAACTCTTTTGTTCTGTGTGCGGTGTGAGAACTCGCATTGTCGTGATGGAGAATGATGCGGCGGTTGCAGTTCTCTTTACGGAGTTCAGAAACGACCTGTGGCAAACAAATGCTAGCATACCATTCTGCATTAACCGTTCTTTGTTCCTCAAGAGGAATAGTCGTAACATGGCTGGTTTTGGAGACAAACGTGGCCACCATTTTTTTTTGCAACACTCCGTGAACGAACAATTTTTATTGGCTTTAACTCATTTTCGAACACCCAAACTCGTGACTGGTTTTTTGTTTCGGGTTCGTACTCGTATATCCAAGATTTGTCACCTGATACGATGTTGTATACAGCATTTGAGGATCCTGTGTGGAATCTTTCGGGAGTTCTGACGCACCAAGTAACGCGAGCCGCTTTTTGCTCTTCACAGAGCGAATGCGGTATCCATCGGGAAAACAACTTTTTTATACCTAATTGTTCATGCAAGATTATTTGTATTTGATTCATGCCAATGTCTAAAGTTGCCTGAATTTCGCGGTATGTCACATGTCGATCTTCCTCAATCAGCTTACGCACAGCATCAACGTTTTCTTGGGTGACTGCAGTTTTTGGACGACCTTGACGGGGATCATCACTGGGCTTGACACGTCCACGTTGAAATTCACCAAACCAGCGATAAATTGTGGTTTTGAGTGGGGCTTCATCACCAAATGCAGAAATCATCCGGTCAACACACTGTTTTTGTGTTAAACCACTTCGAAAGTCATAATAAATCATCGCTCTCGAATAACACACAAGTTTGACAAAATCTTGTGACAAGACCGAGAATCTTTTTAAAATAAATAAATGGTATTCGATTTTTAAAACCAAGAAATTTTCAATTAAAAAAGATCTTAATATGACAGGAACAGTGGAAATATTCCATTCCGAACTTTATCACCTAGGTAATTAACTCTAGAGAAAAAGGCCTACTCACTAAAGAGTTACTTGCCGCGATTTTCTCATAAAATCTCCTCGCGGTAGAGATTTATTGAGGCCGCGGCGTATCATTTTTGACTTTTACGAAGTGAAAAGCCAATTTCGAACAAAAATATTTGATTTTAACATGCATTAATTTCACATAGAGAAACATTTGTACCCAAAACAATAATTTGTTGGATATAATAATACTTGTTAGTTCTGGATTCGAAAGTGCCGCAACGAGCACAGCGGAGTTGTGATTAATTTCTTTTTTAGATTATCATCAACATAACCCTGTTACAGCTTACCAAAAGTTCACTGCTGAACATAGGCCTCCCTTGAAATAATACTAGTTTTTACGGAATTTATCGCGTATATTTAACTTTTTAATACCCGACGTTTCGAACGCTTTACAGCACTCATGGTCACGGGCGGGACTGAGATGTTCAACGTCCATATGTCATAGTTAACCGCGGTTACCATAGATTAAAATTTAACTTTTGTTCCGATCTATGCAGTATGAACTTATGGTATCTTGAAGTCATGCAGTCGTATGCTTGGGTTGGGGTTTAATTTTATTTATTATAGGATCCCAAGCAGATGGCAGCACCCAGCCATCTTCTCTGTTGAAATTAGGATGTTTTTTGATTTCAATAGCCTGGCGAATCATCCTTGGAAGGAATCGGTGTTCTTTAGCGAGGATCTGCGGTCTATCAAATCTGATGTAGTGACGGGGGCGATCCTGTACGTTCACAGACTGCAGACTTCCCGGAGCGTCGATTCTTCACATCAGCTATATGTTCTTTAACGCGGGTTTTTATTGATCTTTTAGTTTGTCCTATGTAGGAGAGACCACATTCACCATCTGCTACCATCTGCTTGGGATCCTATAATAAATAAAATTAAATCCCAACCCAAGCATACAACTGCAAGACTTCAAGATACCATAAGTTCATACTGCATAGATCGGAACAAAAGTTAAAATTTTAATCTATGGTAACCGCAGTTAACTATGACATATGGACGTTGAACATTTCAGTCCTGCCCGTGACCATGAGTGCTGTAAAGCGTTCGAAACGTCGGGTATTTAAAAGTTAAAAAAGTTAAATATACGCGATAAATTCCGTAAAAACTAGTATTATTTCAATGTGTAGTGTTCGCGTAAATATAAGAAATCATAGGCTTCCCTCATAGAGGGAGCGTATATTTGATATATATATATAACCGGTTCTTTGCCACTTTAGCTTACATAAACGACGGGTTATATGGATTCTGTGGTCCTACTGTAGATATCTCCGTTTGGGATCGTGCAGAGAAATTTCAAATCCCTTTGTAGACTTTAAAAATTCCTTTTTATCAATTGGTGCGGTAAGGATCCTTGTAGCATAAAAGGCTTTTTAAATAAAGAAGGGTAATTAAAAAAAAAACTCACTACATGACTTTGAGTTTACACGCAACAGTAAAGGTCTAAGGCCAATATTCAAAAACGATTTGGAACTTAAATTTGTGTATCAAATGTTGACATTGTGAGTGTGAGTTTGAACTCAAGATTGTTTGTGAATAACCGGCTTTAGTTTCGACTCCGTAGGTCGCTCATCACTGATAAAGCTGTGTATCAGATGAAGCTGTATGAGCTTAAGGCTCTTTACGCACTGTCGACCGGTCGCCGGCGACTCATCGACCCGTTCGACGGCGACAGTGACTTTCTGTAGTTTAAATAGGTGTTTACGCACTTAGTTGCCGGGTGCCCGGGCGACACGGCGACTCGCAGCGCAGTGGCGACGCACAAGAGACTGTAGAGTAATGTACTTGGAATACTGTCGCTCGACTTGGTCTCCTGGCCGATGTTAGTCGCCAAGAGACTGAATTGCTGGCATCCAGTCAATAGTGCGTAACGGCTTTAAAAGGCTAACAGCACTAACATCATAGATAAAGGCGATAAAGATGGTCATCACTTACAACGCGACAGTTGAACTTTTTTTTATAGGATAGGGTGATAAACGAGCACACAGTTCACCTGATGGTAAGTGGTTGTTGTTGCATCTACATCAATCTTCGATTACGAATCGAAATGCAGATGCGTTGCCACCCGTGAGGACTACGATTGAATGCCTCGTTTCCAGTAAAAAGGGTCTCCGGTTCTCTACACTCACCTTACGAAACACAGCAGCATTAAGCTACTATTTGTAGCCGGTATTCTGTGAGAGAGAATCCTTCCCCGGTCGAGCCGACCCATTCGTGCTGCAACTATACTACTAATATAACTGCAGCATGGCTCTACCGCGTATAAAAACGAAATATATTTACTGGATATATACTATGAACGCATTTATTTTTAATTGTTAATAATGTTCACATTATTCTCTTAGGATGACAGAAGTGATAAACCTCCTCCAGTCTTCTATTCCCGTGACAATAAACCTGACGCAGCGGCCCGAAGTCTCTGATCATGACTTCATTGAAGAACAGGAGAAATATCTATATGCCGTTAGCACGAGGACCTTAGCCTTGCCTGTAGCCAGGTACAGTAAACTTTTAATAGCTACGTCATTTTTTTTTTCAAGAATTAATTAAGTTGCTTAACTTGGTTTATATATTTCGTTTTTCCTTGATGTACTCATATAAATTATGATACAAGCAGTAAGCAATAAATATGAAGAAAAAAAAACTGATAAATTTCGTATTTTGAGTTATATGTTTCTAATTTATTCTGCTATTAATCTAGATAAAACTCTAAATGATTATCAACTGTAAAGAATCTATATCGATATCAATTAGAATCGAATATCTTTCACTTGGAATGCCTAGTCCAATAAATGTGACAGCTGTCAAAAGGTATTTCTTAGATTTAGTGGAGATACTGACAATCAATATGTTACGGCCTTCAGTTGCCCCGACAGAAGTCGACTGGGCTATTGCCCATCAGTAACCCAACTCGACGGGCAACAGAGGGTTCGGGCCCAACTGGCCTATGGATAAATATGTAATGGCTGGATAAGCAAACACAAACTTACCGAGTTCCGGAGGTAGGGTCGACCACAAGGTACCGTCAGGGGCAAGTAAATGGTAGGTGTGAGTGGTGTAGGAAGGTGTGTAATGTAACCTGACGTCACCGATGTAATCGGCCAGCAGAACCACATGCGTTGCCCTGCTCCACAAGGTGCAATCACTTCAGTGGGCGTTCACCATTATCTGAACTCAAGTCTAATGTCACTTAGCACAAAACTATAATCGAAGAAGAACGCGATCTCCTCCCGGATCACGAAGTTTAGCGTTCCACCCGACAAAGCAAAAATTCCTTCGTACGATATTAAAATACCAAACAAGCAACTCGTCGGCGCAAATTCATAGCAATGTAAGTTAAATTAATCACTCAAACTCAAGGAAGACTTCGTTGTCACGTATAGGAAAAAAATAAGACAAGGCAAAAGGGCGCGACCTAACGATTCTAACTTAACTTCCCGGCATCTAACCGACACGGTCGTCGCGGACAATAGATTATTCTAGACTAATTGTCCCAAAACGAATGCCTCCCGTGCAAACCGTCAAACCTGTTTTTCGCCCGAGACGAGCGTTTTTGCAAGTTTTAAGTTGTTACGATTTGGCCTTATCACAATATGACTTAATACAGATAAAGTATACAGATAATACCACCTATGTTTAACAATTAAATTAATGCCATCAAAAACATAACTTGTAAAAAAAACCAAGTCTCGCAACTCAGTTCTTCTACCGTAAAAAGTTGTAAAATCCATGTAATACCAAGTTGGTTAACTTATTCAGTACCCTACTTAAGGGTCCTTCTGTTTTAACTTATTACGAAATTAGCTAACCTAACCACATTTTATAGTGACCATATCAATGTTAAAAACCTTTTATGTTTTAAATATATAGATTAACTTGGCCCTACTGAAATTCAGGCTTCTAGTTTTATCTACTACGAAGTTATAGGGGGTCAAAATGGCCTGAATTGTTTTGGGAAAAATATGGTACGGCCGTGCCGCTTTTTTGCTCGACTTGGCGATTGAATTAAATTAGATTTGGTTGAGTATTGAACATGACGCAGGGCATGTATGTGGTCTATGGTACTGAAGCCTTTTCGCTTGAAGTCGTGCGGGTCGGGCGGGGAAGTCGTTGAGTCTGCGTGCGAAACGATTCGTAATGACTTTTGAAAACAGCACGTAGACGCGGCTCAGAAAGGAAATCGGTCTGTAGTTCTTCAAGAGAGCATTATCGCTTTTCTTTGTTCTTTAACAAGGCCACCGCACTTCTGCTCCACGCCTCCGTAGTAGTGCCACCATGGGGGACGGAATTGAAGAACTTCTGATGGACAATCACTGAGACATCACTGAACAGTTGCCGTCTAGTCGTCATAATGAAATCAAAGTCATTTTTGTCTTACTGTCGGCTCGACCAAGTGGACATTCATCATCATCATCATCATTACAGCCCTTCACAAGTCCACTGCTGAACATAGGCCTCCCCCAAGTAATGCCACAAAGCACGGTCCTGAGCCACCTGCATCCATCGACTTCCTGCATGTCTTACCAGGTCGTCACTCCATCTAGTGGGGGGTCGCCCTACACTACGCCTACCGGTACGAGGCTGCCACTCGAGAACCTTTCTTCCCCATCGGTTATCGGTTCTTCGAGCTATATGGCCGGCCCATTGCCACTTCAGCTTACTAATCCGTTGGGCTATGTCGGTCAATCTGTTTTACTGCGGATATCCTCATTTCTGAGTCTATCACGCAGAGAAACTCCGAGCATAGCCCTCTCCATAGCTCGCTGAGCGACCTTAAGCGTCCTCATACGGCCAGCAGTGAAGGACCACGTCTCAGATCCGTAAGTCATCACTGGCAACACGCACTGGTTGTACAATCTAGTTTTTAGAGATTGAGGTATACCTGACGAAAAGATATGCCGTAATTTCCCGAACGCTGCCCAGCCGAGTTGAATCCGTCGATTGACCTCTCGGTCGAAGTTGGACTTACCTAGTCGGACTATTTGTCCCAGGTAAACGTATTCGTCAACAACTTCGAGCATAGTGCTCCCAACAACTACCGGCATAGGTGTGACATGGACATTGAACATGATCTTTGTTTTGTCCATGTTCATCTTAAGACCTATCCGTTGGGAGGCACTATTGAGGTCATTGAGCATAGTGCTTAAGTCCTCCAGCGATTCTGCCATAAGGACTATATCGTCGGCAAATCGAAGGTGAGTGATGTACTCGCCATTGATGTCAATACCGTATCCTTTCCAGTCCAGTAGCTTGAAAACGTCTTCCAATGCAGCGGTGAAGAGTTTCGGGGATATAACGTCACCCTGTCTTACACCTCTCTGCAGTTGGATAGGTTTCGAGCTCTGGTTCTGTACTCGGATAGCCATCGTAGCCCTACTGTACAAACACTTCAGCACTTCGATATACCGACAGTCAACTTGGCACCGCTGAAGGGACTGTAGCACCGCCCAAATTTCGACGGAATCAAAGGCTTTCTCATAGTCCACATACGCCAGGCAAAGTGGCAGATTGTACTCTTCAGTCTTCTGTACAATCTGCCGCAGGGTATGTATGTGGTCTATGGTACTGAAGCCTTTTCGGAAACCGGCTTGTTCGGGAGGCTGGACGTCGTCAAGTCTGCGTGCGAGACGATTCGTAATGACTCTCGAAAACAGCACGTAGACGCGGTTCAGAAGGGAAATCGGCCTGTAGTTCTTTAAGAGAGCGTTGTCGCCTTTCTTAAAGAACAAGACCACCGCACTTCTGCTCCACGCCTCTGGAGTAGTGCCACCATGGAGAACGGAATTGAAGAGCTTCTGAAGGACTTCAAGTACCGGTGTTCCACCCGCTTTCAGAAGCTCCGCTGTAATTCCATCCTCGCCTGGGGCCCTGCCGTTTTTAAGGTGCTGGAGAGCCATTCTAATCTCGCTTAGACTGACGTCCGGGATATCATCGGAATAGTGTCGGATAAGACTTGCTCTTGGATCGTTACTCACACTTGCGTGTGGCTCCAACGATGATGTGTACAGCTGCCCATAGAACCTCTCAATCTCACTCAAAATCTCAGGTGTCCCGGAAACGATGTTGCCACACTCAGTCTTCAGCTTTGACAGTTGGCTTTCTGGCAGACAGATCTCTGGCAAAGACTTTGGAGCCCTGGTTCCGCTCGATCGCTTCTTTAATACGAGAAGTATTAAAGTTGCGTAAGTCTCGCCGTATGCATTTGGAGATCTGTCTGTTCAGTTGCCTGTATGCTGTCAAATCTGTTGACGATTGCAGCCTCATCTCCCCGTCTAACAGCCATGAGATTAAGAGTGTGATCGGAGAGTTTTTGTGTTCTTCTGCGGCGGGTCTTGCAGAACTTAGCTCCGACCGCATGGACAGTTTCCACGAGCTTGTCGTTCATATCGTCCACTGCATTGCAATCTTCTAGGCACTGGAAGCGGTTACGTAACTCGAGCTGAAAGGTTTCGGGATTCTGGATTAGAGCACGAGGGGGACGGAGCGTTGACTTCATTAGACGAGACCTCTCCAACTTAACGTTTAGGTTCAGTGTGCCTCTAACCATTCGGTGATCGCTGCCAGTTTTCACCCTTGCGATCACTGAGACATCACTGAACAGTTGGCGTCTGGTCGTCATAATGAAGTAAATCTCATTTTTTGTCGAACCGTCGGGGCTCGACCAGGTCCACTTCCTGTGGGGCCGCTTCTGGAAGAAAGAGTTCATCATAAAGAGTCCCTCTTTCTCCATAAAGTCGGCCAGCTGCTGGCCCCTTCGGTTCCGTTGCCCTACTCCAAATTTCCCTACCTTCAGCTCACCGCTTTCTCTTGTGCCCAGTTTTGCGTTGAAGTCTCCCATCAACACCGTGTAGTAGGTTTTGGAGGAATGTATGGCTCTGGAAATATCCTCATACATTTCCTCCACCTCCTCATCGGGATGTGCCGAGGTTGGTGCGTAAACCTGAATGACCTTCAGCGAATACCGTTTGGTGATTCTGAGTATCAGGTACGCGACCCTCGTCGACACACTCCCAATCTTTACAACGTTGTTGACGAGAGATTTGTGGACGATAAATCCGACACCTCCTTGGGACAGATGGTCGCCCTCCCGGTGATAGAACAAGTTGCCGGACTCGAGGATTGCCGTGTCCTCCCCCTCTCTTCGGACCTCGGATAATCCAATAATATGCCAGCGCAACTTGTCTACCTCTTCTTCCAGCTCCAGTATCTTCTCGTCAGTCCTCAGGGTGCGTGCGTTATATGTTGCCAGGTCGAGTCGTCGTAGGTGGCAACCGAACTTCCACCGGAGATTCTTAGCACCCCCTGCCCCGCCGTTACCATGGTCGCCACCGTAGCCAGGAATAGCGGGGCCGCCGGGGACTGGGGGCCGTCTGTTTGTGTATTTATTCATTGGGGGGTTATTTGCCATAGTTGCCACGCTTGGCGAGCGGGTTGGCAACCGCAGTTTTTTATTACGTCACAGTTGTCATCAGGAAGACGCTGCTGCCCATCTCCTGCCTGTCTCCCTCTGTCGCCTCTTACGACACCCACGGGAAGATATGGGGTAGTGGATATTCTTAACCGCCACTACACGGCAAAGTGGACATTCTGTGGGGCCGCTTCTGGAAGAAAGAATTCATCATAAAGAGTCCCTCTTTCTCCATGAAGTCGGCCAGCTGCTGGCCCCTTGGATTCCGTTGCACTTTTTCAAATTTCCCTATCTTCAGCCCTCTTGGTTTTGGCGGAATGCATTCCTCTAGAAATATCTTGCCTTAACCAAAAAGGCAATAGCCAAAAAGGCAATGATCTAATAAATATCGGATTGGACAGAAGACCGAAGAGTACAATTCTTCTTGAAAATTTCGCCTTGTGTATGTGGACTATGAAAAAGCCCTTGATTCCGTCGAAATTTGGGCGGTGCTACGGTCCTTTCAGCGGTGTCAAGTTGACTGTCGGTATATCGAAGTGCTGAAGTGTTAGTACAGTAGGGCAACGATTACAGAATCCTAGTAAACTATCCGAGTACAGAACCGAATCCCCGAAACTCTTTATCGCTGCATTGGAAGACGTTATCAAGCATACTGAACTGGAAAGGATACGGTATTAAAATCAATGGTGAGAACATGACACAACTTCGATTTGCCGACTATATAGTCTTTATGGCAGAATCGCTGGAGGACCTGAGCACTATGCTCAATGACCTCAATAGTGTCTCCCAGTCTTAAGATGAACATGGACAAAACAAAGATCTTGTGTAATGTCTATGTCACACTTATGATAGTAGTTGTTGAGAGCACTAAGCTCGAAGTTGTTGACGAATACGTTTACATGGGGCGAATAGTCCGACTAGGTAAATCCAACTTCGACCGAGAGGTTGGGCAGTGTTAGGGAAACTACGACACATCTTCTCGTCAGTTATACCTCAAAACATAACTAGATTGTACAACCAGTGCGTGTTGCTAGTTATAACTTATGGATTTGAGACGTGGTCCTGTACTGATGGCCAGCGATCTATGGAGAGAGCTATGCTCGGGGTTTCTCTGCGTAATAAATTTAGAAATGATATCTGCCGTAGAACCAGAATAACCATTATAGCCCAACGGATTAGTAAGCTGAAGTGGCAATGGGCCGGCCATATAGCTCGAAGAACCGACAACCGAGTGACAGCTTCGTACTGGTAGGCGTAGTGTAGGCGACCCCCACTAGATAAAGTCACGACCTGGTAAGACATGCAAGAAGTCGATTGATGCTCAGGTGGTCAGGACCGTGCTTTGTGACATTCCTTGGGGGAGGCCTATGTTCAGCAATAGACTTTTGAAGGGCTGTAATGATGTTGATTATTTTCGCGTAACCTGAGATCAGCAGAGAACTTGAAATTGAATATGCCACTACACACTAGTAAATTTATGAACAATTCTTTTACTGCACAGGCCGTTCGTTTATGGAATGAACTCCCATTGGCAGTTAAACGCGCTCCATCCCTACCGGTTTTTAAAAAACTAGTAAAGAATCATTACCTTGCACTTCGCTCCCACACTAGCCATTTAATATAATATAATATAATATATATGTAGTATATATGATTGCATTTAGTTAAATAATTAAATATATATTTATTTTTTGTATGTATATATGTTTGTAGTACCTATATGTATGTTTTGTTATATATATAATAAAAATATATATATATATATATATATATATATATATATATATATATATATATATATATATATATATATATACGAGGACGGCACTGAAAATTTCGGGAATCAAGGAAGTGACACAACATTACCATTTAAAAATGTATTTATTGCTTTTCGAAGTATTATCGGCGAAATTTGACACATTTTTCCATACGCATCATTGAAGCAACCATCTTCAGTTGGGGTCTCCAAAATGGCCGTTTTGTAAGCGTCCACAGCTTCTTCAGGTGATGAAAATCTCTGTCCACGCAATTTATTCTTTATTTTAGAGAAAGTATAGAAATCATTAGGGCTTAGGTCGGAGCTGTACGGCGGATGGTCTAATAATTCTATGTTTTCTTGCTCTAAAAACTCTTTTGTTCTGTGTGCGGTGTGAGAACTCGCATTGTCGTGATGGAGGATGATGCGGCGGTTGCAGTTCTCTTTACGGAGTTCAGAAACGACCTGTGGTAAACAAATGCTAGCATACCATTTTGCATTAACCGATCTTTGTCCCTCAAGAGGAATAATCGTAACATGGCCGGTTTTGGAGACAAACGTGGCCACCATTTTTTTTGCAACACTTCGTGAACGAACAATTTTTGTTGGCTTTAACTCATTTTCGAACACCCATACTCGTGACTGGTTTTTTGTTTCGGGTTCGTACGCGTATATCCAGGATTCGTCACCTGCTACGATGTTGTATACAGCATTTGAGGATCCTGCGTGGATTCTTTGGAGAGTTCTGACGCACCAAGTAACGCGAGCCGCTTTTTGCTCTTCACAGAGCGAATGCGGTATCCATCGGGAAAACAACTTTTTTACACCTAATTTTTCATGCAAGATTATTTGTATTTGACTCATTCCAATGTCTAAAGTTGCCTGAATTTCGCGGTATGTCACATGTCGATCTTCCTCAATCAGCTTACGCACAGCATCGACGTTTTCTTGGGTGACTGCAGTTTTTGGACGACCTTGACGGGGATCATCACTGAGCTTGACACGTCCACGTTGAAATTCAGCAAACCAGCGATAAATTGTGGTTTTGGATGGGGCTTCATCACCAAATGCAGAAATCATCCGGTCAACACACTGTTTTTGTGTCACTTCGAAAGTCATAATAAACCATCGCTCTTGAGTTTTCTCGAGTCAATTCCATTTTCTCAACGACTAAACAAGTTTGACAAAACCTTGTGACAAGAACGAGAATCTTTTTTTAAATAAATAAATGGTATTCGATTTTTAAAACCAAGGAGTTTTCAATTAAAAAGATTTTAATATGAGAGGAACAGTGGAAATATTCCATTCCCGATACTTTTAGTGCAGCCTAGGTATATATAATATATATATATATATATTAAATGTATATTCTTTTTTTATCACACCAGTGTGCCCTTGTCATCTTTGTGTAATCTTGTCCATTCACTGGTTGTCTGGAAGATATTGCTATCAGCAATAAGACCGCCCATTGCATTCTTCTTTTGTATAAATAAATAATAATTTTATATGGTTTGCAATAAAAATCTGTGCAGCAGTGTGGGCTGCGTGAAAAGCGGTATAGAGTACCATTCTATGGTATCTATGGCACAAACTCAGCCAGTTTCAGCCCGCGGGCTCTAACGCGTGGTGCAAACTATCAAGTCTCGGTGTCTCTTCTATTAGGTACATTATTTTAATAGTTTGTTGATAGCCTCGGGTTTAAAATATAGCTAATGAAATCAAATTCTGTACTTTACATATAAGTTTGCATATTTTTTGCGGGCATAAACTACTTTTTGTAAAAACGGTAACAACACTCATGTGTCATGTGGTATGGTAGGGGCATGGTGACGTTGCGAAGCGTGGGAGCGGCGGCTACAGAGCCACTGTCGGCCCCGCGGCTGTGTGCGACTGGGCGCGGGCCGCCGCCTCGCCGTGCCGCCGTGTCGCTGCCGGCGGATGCCTCGCCGCACCTGCTGCACTGGCCTTCCTTCCACAACGGGGCCGCGGCCGGGCTCGCGCTCGTGCCAGTCGCCGGCGCCACCATACACCACAGCTGGGTCGTCTACAACAAGCCGCGGGTGACTGCACACGTACACACACACACACGCGCGCGCGCGCGCGCACGCACACGCACGCACATACACGCACGCACACAAGCACACTCGCGCCTCCGCACACACGCGTACACGCGCACACGCCCACACGCGACACACGCACACATAAATACATACACACACACACGCACACATATACACACACACACTAGTAGAAGTAATATGTCGAAGCGTTTTAAAAATCCAGGCTAATTTTCTAAATATACATGTTATTACATCGATATGTTCATGCCAAGTTAAACGTATAATGATCCTCAAGTACTTGGTTGAAGAAACCTTTGTAATGACAGAACAGTTACAATTTTGAACTTCATCAATGTTGCAAGTGTTAATCTTTATGTTAAAGTTATTTCCTGGTTGAGCTCGGTTTTTAATAGTAAACCGAATATGATTAGTTTTAAGTGCATTAAACGTTAGAAAATCAGATTGAAGCCAGCTTGCAATTATAGTAAGGCCAGATTCTGTATTTTTACGAATTTCACCCCATGATGCTCCAGTAAAAACTACAGCTGTGTCATCGGCATATGTGAACACAAGGGTACCATTATTTTTCAGATTACAAAGATCATTGATATAAATTAGAAACAATGTTGGGCCTAAAATACTACCTTGTGGTACGCCGTAAGTGGTGTATGTGTCCTCACTAATAAACTGTCCTACTTTAACTTTTTTGGCGGTAAATTCTTAAAAAAGTTGTTGTGTTTTCTAATTTTTGTAAAAGGATGGGGATAGAGATAGCATCAAAGGCCTTTTTAAGGTCTAGAAAAACTGCAATACATTTTTTACCCTGATCTAAGTCGTTAATTATATATGAGCTAAGAGCTAAGATTGTATCTTCTGTGGATTTACCTTGTCTGAATCCATACTGACAGTCAAACAAGATATCGAACTTAGTAAGATAACTTAATAATCTTGTGTTGATAAGTTTTTCTAATATCTTAGAAAGTGAAGGTAGTACTGAAATAGGTCTGTAGTTGCTAACATCACCTCTATACCCATTCTTATACACTGGTGTTATGACTTGTTTTAAAGGTTGAGGAACAACGCCATGTGTGCCAAAATATGTATATCCTCTAATTCCTACCCGTTATAATTATTTGCTAAATTCAGTTAACATTCTTATAATATCACAAACCCACCACAACATAAATAGAGTAATAAAACAAGCTCAGAGTGGCAAAAATTATTGTGAGTATTACTCTGATATTTGTTGGTCAAAGATGTCAATTGTGAATATTCCTTTATATGATACAGCATGAGAAGTAATCTTAAGTTAGGGCTTCTAAATTTAAGTTCATTAGGAACAGGCCATGAAGAACTAGTAGTAGCTATAGATCGCCACGCTGTCGATTTGATGGCGATTAACGAAACTTGGTTGCGCGATTGTGAGGAAGCGCGTGCGCCCGCGGTGCCAGGATACCGGTTACGTCACATTCCACGACCGACCAATGTGCGCTCGCGAGGTGGCGGAGTTGACTTCTACATACGGTAGGGTCTAGCTGTTCGAACGTTGCCTGATCCTTCGACTCCGCTTGTAGAATAAATGTCGCTTGCTCTAACTATTAACGGTACTAAGATCGCGATTGGTACTGGCTATAGACCACCATGGTTAAATGTAGACACATTTTTCGATGGTTTGTCTGAAACTATCGGGACTCTTGCATGGTGCAATTATATAATCTTGTTAGGGGGACTTTAATATAAATGTATTGAACACCGCGAATAGTAATTATAAAAAACTTAGAAAATTCTTACAGTACTACAAACTGAGCCAATGTGTAACACAACCGACTCATTTCACCGATCATAGTCAAACCTTAATAGATATAGTTTGTACAGATATCCAGCAATACGATATTTTAGTTAACCACATACCCGATCTGAGTAGCCATGCATTTATTTGTTGTGAAATTAATTTCAAAAAGCCCAAACAAAAATCACTTATAATATCACGCAGAGACTTACATTCCATTGATGTCGAACAATTTGAATTAGATCTAAAGTCGATGAACTGGGAAACCATCAACACCCTGAATGACGTTAATGGTATGGTATCTCTTTTTAACACAATGATGTTAACCATATTTGATATTCATGCGCCTCTTCGCACGAAAACTGTACTACATTTACAATATCCCTGGATCACTTATAATATAAAAAAATTATGAAACTCCGATGAAGCTGGATTAGTAGCACGTAAATCTGGTTCAGAGATACATAAGAACTATTATAAGGAACTAAAAAAATACTGTACTGAGGCGCTTCGCAAAGAAAAACAGGCATACTATGACTACTACATCAACAATACTAAAAGAGATCCTAAAGCCATACGGTCACACATAAAAAAAAACGTAAGGCTAGAAAGTAAACCAGAACTACCGTGTCATATTTTTAATGATCCCAATTTAATTAATACCAGCTTTTTAAATGTTCCTGGACATGTTCAAATACTTACTTCTAACACGTCTCTCTTTGAATCTCATATAAAAGTTTCAAGAAAATTTAAGCTAAAGATAATACAGGAAATTGATATTTTAAAAATAGTACAGTCATTAAAATCAAACGCGGTTGGTATAGATGGCATATCTCTTAATATGCTTAAAATGTCAATACCCAACACAATATCTGTTATAACAAATATAATTAACAAATCTATAGAAACCCATACATATCCCACTGAATGGCAACACGCATTGGTCAGACCTAATCCTAAAAACGCAAATCCAACTAACATGAAGGACATCCGCCCGATCAGGATATTGCCCTGTGTGTCAAAGATTTTAGAGAAGGTTGTGGCCGAGCAGCTAAGAAAGTATTTGGAAACAAATGCAATACTCCCTAGTTTACAATCGGGTTTTAGGCAACATTATAGTACAACTACCGCTCTGATTAAAGTAATCGATGATATTCTGTCAGACCAAGACTCTAGAAAAGGCACAATATTAGTTCTACTAGACTTTTGTAGGGCATTTGACTGCTTGAATGTACCTTTACTTTTGTCAAAATTGTACTATTATGGTTTCGACGAAACTGCGATGAAATGGTTTGAGAGCTACTTTAAATATCGCGCACAGCGAGTAGAGATTTCTGACCATAGAGGGTTGCCGTTAGACTCCGATTGCAAGGTTGTGAAACAAGGTGTACCTCAAGGCTCAATTTTAGGACCACTTTTGAGTGCTTTGTACTGTGCAGATATGGTAGATCACATCAAACATTGTAGATATCATATGTACGCAGATGACACACATATTTACATATCATGTAAGCCTGAGGAAACTCAATCAGCAATAAACAAATTAAACGAAGATTTAAAAGGCATTGCTTATTGGTCAAAATCGAATGCTCTTGTTCTAAACGGAAATAAGTCAAAGTATATGATTGTAGGAACGGCTAAGCAAATTCAAAACATTGCGAATCAACGGTTTCATGTCACCATAAAAAGGGGAACAAATTGAACGTGTGACTGAAACTCGCAATTTAGGTCTGCTTATAATCGTTTGTGCTTCGAGAATCACATACTTAATACTACTAGAAATTGCTTCTACAGACTTAAAGTCTTGTATCAAATTAGAAATTTCCTTAATACAGATATTCGAATCAGGCTCTGTGACTAATTAATTCTTTCTAAATTTAATTACATGGATGTAGTTTATGGTCCTCGTCTTTTAATACGTAGTCAAAAACTCATTCAGCGAGTTCAGAACGCTTGTGTAAGATTTTGCTTCGGGATACCGCCACACACTCACATTATAACATTTTAAAAATGAAATATCGTCGTCACTTTCATTTAGCAACACTATTGTTTGGTATAATTAAATATAATATGCCACCTTATCTCTTCTAAAAGTTGGTGTGGTTGCGCGACGTAAATTCAAAAATAATTCCTGCGTCGATTTATTCTCTCGCCGTGCCATTCTATCGCACCGCTGCTTTTCGTGGGAGCTTTAGGTACGCTGCCTCAAAGTGTTGGAACGACCTGCCGCCACCGTTTCGTAGCCTGAAAACAAAACATTTAAAGAAAAATATAAACACTATCTAATATTAACTCAGAAGAACATAGGCTGAAGCGTACTACTCACCAAAATGGGTACTGGCACATAGTACAGCCGGTCAAGGTCGCAACTAATAAAGTGAAGTGATGATAATATAACCTTAAATTGGATACTGTTCGGATAGGTCCACTGACTGCAGGCTAAAAAAAGTGTAATTTAGTGTCGTCAATTAATAACTAATGTAATTTATGTATAAGTTTTAGAAGTAAGTGTTAAAAATATACATATATTAATATAAGAAAACGAATACAACGTAATAATAACTTTTTGTAATAATATAACATATTAATTAATAAAGTTAAGAATACACTGGTAACACAAAATTTTTTGAAAATAAAAATAAAGTGCATGTATAATAAGCACATGTACATACCTTCGGTTTGAAATCAACAATTTCAGCATAGTTAGACAGATTGGTTTTAAAATATTAGTCCGTACGTTATTATCCGTTCGGGCCCACTGAAAACCAGCGCTGTTGCTCCGGCGACAGCATAAGCTGAGTGAGATCCGTTTGTATGACGCGCCACAACATACTCGTACAATATGAGAAACGAGTTTTTTTGTCTTTCTATTATTATTATTATTATTTTAATTATAATCTATAAGTATACATACTTTTAAATTGATTTATCCGTCAAATTGTTGTTTTCAATTGTTTCCTTTTTTTTGTTTTTGTTTGTTATAATGTTTATAAATGATGTGTTAAAATTTACGTTCCTACTGATGTTTGTGACGTGCTGTAATAAATCTTTCTTTCTTTCTTCTTCTTTCTTACGTTGGTCTGATCTATAACAAAAACAGTATTTGCCTAGGATTTCGTAAAAGGCGACTTATAGGATATTGGGTTTGTAATTGTGTATTCGTAGCTACCTATCACAATTTTTAATACATTTCGACTAAACTTACGTTTTTTGTTTATACGTAGTTCAAGTAGCTCTTTGCACTGTGAATTCTCCCTACGCTTACGGGGATTACAGGCATGAATTTATTATGTTTATAAGTACAATTTAGCAGTTTTTTTCATTAAAACCCCAAAAGTTTTTCTAACTCCTTTTACAACTCTTGATGCATGACAAGCATATAATGTATACATGTGTTACATAAGTAATTAATAAACAATTTCAAATTTTTTATCAGGGTACACAAGACATGTCAACAGAGCACGCGGGCTTTTTACTTGCTTTGGGGCTTAATGGGCATTTGCGCGACATGCCGTTCATGAATATCTACGAATATCTCGTGAAATGCAACGAAATGACAAGCGTGGGACTGCTGCTGGGGCTGGCTGCTACTTACAGAGGTAAATATTGTATTTTTAGCACACAGTCCACCTGATGGTAAGTGGATGCTTTGGCCCATAGACGCATTTGTCCTCGATTAAGAATCAAAACGCAGATGCGTTGTCACCCCTGATGACTAAGATGGAATGCCTCGTTTCCAGTAAAAAAGGGTCTCCACATCTCTACATTCACCATACGAAACACGGCTGTATTAAGCTGCTATTTTACGCTTGTATTCTGTACGAGCGTGGTCCTTCCCCGGTCAAGCCGACCTATTCGTGCTACAACCATAATATCGCTGCAGCGTAGCTCTACCACGTATAAACTTAGCTCGCTTATCTCTAGTATGATTTGTTTTTAAATATTTCACCCAGTCCACTTGATTTGACTGTAGGTGAATGCTGTAATCCTCCGTTTATCCTCGATTAAGAATCAAAGTGCAGATCCGTGCAGATTTTATACGTGGTAGAGCCATGCTGCAGCTATATTAATTATATAGTTGTAGCACGAATGGGTCGGCTCGACCGGGGAAGGACCACGCTCTCACAGAAGACCAGCGTGAAATAGTAGGTTGCTGTATTTCGTATGGTGAGTTTAGAGAACCGGAGACCCTTTTTACTGGAAACGAGGCATTCCATCTTAGTCCTCATGGGTGACAACGCATCTGCATTTGGTTTTGTAATCGAGGATACATGTAGATGTCTATGGGCCACAACAGTTACTTACCATCAAGTGGACTGTGTGCTCGTTTGTCACCCTATTCTATAAAAAATAAAATAGATTCGTTGTCATCGTGTTATCATGTTGAACTAGGAAATGCCTCGTTATCAGTAAAAAAGCCTCCGATTCGCAACACAGCAGCATTAAGCTGTTAATTTACGTTGGTATTCTGTGAGAGCGTGGTCCTTGGTCCGTGGATCGAGTGATCAAGCCGACTCATTCGTGTTACAACCATCATATAAATGTAGCATGGCTCTACTGCGTTTAGTAAGAACCAAAAGGAATGAAATAATTTTCACGTAACGGTTTAGTACTAGTATTCGTAGCTTTGATTATCCTACACACTATATCTTCTTGAACTTCTAATTTGAGGTCAATTTTTTCATACTGGTAAAATGGCATTCGAGTATAGACTACATTTTACAATCAGGTGGAATGTGTGTTTGTTGCCAGACTGAACATAAGATCTCCAACGTACGTTAGCCGGGTACTCTGTCGACATCGCAGCACAGATAACTCAGCTCAAATATGTATCTGGTTAAAAATTTATTACGTATACGTTTGTAGAACAAAATACCCAGTCAAAAACAATTTGCAGGAACTATGGACGTGCAAGCGACGAAAATGATGAGCATTCACCTGGAGCCCCTTCTCCCACCGACGTCCATTGAGCTGGACATCCAGCAGAATATCCTAGTCGCGGCTTTGTTGGGAGTGGGGCTGATTTACCAAGAGACCTGCCACGCCCATTATGCCCAGGTGTTGTTAAACGAGATCGGTAAGAAATCATCAAAAGTATTTTTAAAAAAAATAATTTTTGTTTAACCGAAGTAACGAACGAACTTGTAGTCTAGTAAACACCTACCCACAACCATCCACTGCAAACAAAGAAGGCTAGAGATGTGTTGTCACCTCTGAGGATTGAGATGGAATGCCTCATAGCCGGTAATACTGGTTGTCTTTACCTTTTCAAACCACAACACAGCAATGTAAGCACTGTTATTTAGCGGCAGAAATAGTTAAAAGAACGGAACATCCCCAGACAGACTTTCTAGTCAAAAGAAGTATTATTATTCTGTAGTCGTTTATTTATTGTTATGGAAGTAATGGTTGGTTACCTCCTTTAAAATCTAATATCATTGCGAGGTTAGCACTCATAAATTCGCCTGCCTAGCGTGGTATGAATGGCCAATTGTTTAATATAATGAAATAATGAAGCAGAAACATATAACCTTGAATTTTATAACATGTAATTACAATATATTTAACATTATGCAATTTCTATATATTTTGAATGTATTAAATGTCATAAGAAATTATTCATAAATAGTCCGTAAGTCGGAACATCCGTAGCGTAAGTGTAGCCAATACAAAATTTATTCAGTTCTGAAATGTCTTATCCGTCATAACTTTAGGATATTCTTGGAATTGTTTGTAAAAGTAGTAAATAGTAAAGTAAATTTATACAGCCTGGAGTGGTGAACGTAGACATCCTCTTATATCTGAGAGGATTATAGAGTGTTTATCCGTCACGCTGCTACTTACGTATTCGCGAGTCATTGAAATATTTTATTTGAAGTCATTAGTGTGTATTTAAGTTGTAATTAGTGTTCTATAATTAAAGTGTCAATATTTGAAATTCACTCGGCAGTTGTTAATTGTCTCGAACCACAAGTATTCCTAACAGTATTTTAAACAGGTTTTGATAAGGTTATTCTAACCCCATTAAAAATAACGGTACTTAACTTTACGTTTAAAGTTACAGCCCACTACGTCCTACTCCTGGGCAGAGACTAATTTCTGGGAAGGTATTGAGTGTTAGGAAAAGTCCGCCATGTTGCCTTTACATTGCCGACTTTACATGATTTGAAATAATGTTTATATTTTAATTTCAAAAAATTTCAAACAAGTGTTTTTTAAAACTTCAAAATTTCTGATCGAAACTTTTTTGATGTAATGAGTTAACTATTAGTTAAAATATTTAGTTTAGAGATCGAACATAGCGGGAAGTTAACCGCTTTTCAGATTATTTTATTTATTTTTTTCACCATTCACCAATATTACTTATTGTGAACCTCTCTTGGGCATAGTTTGCAAACTAACCATGTAGAATAAAGTTACGTGTAACGTTACTTAGAATTTTACTTGGTTTGATTTTACGTTAAATCATATAACGTTACATAATTATAGTGGTAGTTTTGTGTGGAATTTGTAATGTTTAATGTCCGACCGACGTTTCGGCTTCGGTTACTTTCGGCTAAAAAAATCACCTTCAGCTTCTGCCAAAATGATACAAAGTTTGTACCGAAATCTAATTTTTCTAGCAAGCGCCTAAGTATGAATGAGCGAAGAGCGCGATGGGCGTGGCGACGTAATTTTTATCATGATTAAAATTACCTTTTTTATTTTATACACACAATATATAACTTTAATTTAAAAGTTTTAACTTTATTCTTGAACTAAATTTCTTTAGGTTTTTAAGCCTTCGGCTTTCGGCAAAAGTTGTGGCGAAAGCCGATTAAACGGCTTCGGCTATGGCTTCGGCCAGAAATCGACCTTCGGTTGAACACTAGTAATGTTACCGCCATAGTAGCCGTATTCGAAGATCTGGGTAAAGGCGTTACTACTACACTACTTAGATTATCATGTGTGCGGTGCAGGTAAGCCGCCGGGGCCCGAGATGGAGAGCTGCGTGGAGCGCGAGGGGTACGCGTTGGCGGCGGGCTTGGCGCTGGGGCTGGTGTGTGTCGGCGCCGCGCATTCCGCGCCCGCGCACCTTGCTACGCGCCTGCGCTCGTATGTGCTAGGCGCAGACAGACGCACGCTGCATGGTGCGTACTCACTCACTCGCACGCTCACTCGCTTACTCACCTCGCGCCGGGCCTGGTCTGTCTTGGCACCGCGCACGCTGCGCCCGCGCACCTCACCACGCGACTGTGCGCGTACGTGCTCTGCGCGAACCGGCACACATCGCATGGTGAGTACTCACTCGCACGCTCACTCGCTTACTCACCTCGCGCCGGGGCTGGTGTGTGTTGGCACCGCGCACGCTGCGCCCGCGCACCTCGCCATGCGCCTGTGCGCCTACGTGCTTGGCACGGACCGGCGCGCGCTGCACGGTGCGTACTCACTCACTCGCTTACTCACCTCGCGCCGGGGCTGCTGTGTGTTGGCACCGCGCACGCTGCGCCCGCGCATCTCGCCACGCGCCTGTGTGCCTACGTGCTCGGCACGAACCGGCGCGCGCTGAATGGTGCGTACTCACTCACTCGCACGCTCACTCGCTTACTCACCGCGCGTCGGGGCTGGTCTGTCTTGGCACCGCGCACGCTGCGCCCGCGCACCTCGCCACGCGCCTGTGCGCCTACGTGCTCGGCACGGACCGGCGCGCGCTGCACGGTGCGTGCTCACTCACTCGCACGCTTACTCGCTTACTCATCTCGCGCCAGGGCTGGTGTGTGTCCAAACCGCGCACGCCGCGCCCGCGCACCACGCCAAGTGTTTCCGCGCGTGCGTTCTTAGTGCGGACCGGCGCACGTTAACGGGTTGCACTCATTCGCTTTCTCGTCCACTTTTTCACCTCCTACTAACTTTCTAAACCACTCTCTGATTCGCTCATTCGTCCACTTGCTCTTGCACACTAGCCAACGTGCTCACTCATCCACACTAACTCACCCACTCACTTTCACACATCCCTTCGCTCACACGCTCACTCACCAACCACAGCGGTGCACTACTCAGCATTTTCCACTCTTCTGCAAATCCCAAATCCACATTCACTTATATTCTTAACATCTATTATCCCTTATTCTAGATCTATTATAAATCTATATTGATTAAAACTATTTAACTATACAACAATATAAATATTAATGTTTACTTAAATAGTTCTCATGACACAAAACTCACCAAAAGATTACTACTACTCAGTACTTACTATTGACCACTCACCACTCGCTGTTTATCGATTAACCGATTGGGAATAACGCCTGGTAACTGTCAAAGCAGTATTGGATGACCACTCACTAGATGGAGTGACGATCTAATGATGGCGGCTTAGAACTGTCCTTCATGACAATCTCCGGGGAAGGCTGACGTTTAGCATTAAACATGTGATGAACTCGGTCTGCGGTTGTTGTCGGTCACCATACGAAACACTTGCTGCTATTTACACCTTCTCTGTACAAGTTGATTTGTTCCAAGACTTATCGATAAAAATATCTAATAAAACAAAAACGGCCTCAATAAACGGTATCTAATGAAACAAATACAGTAAAAAACGGTGTTCTCGCTTGTACTTACGTGATATTTTTTTTGCCCTAAAACGTAACACCAATGATTTTGTAACTCATCATTTAAACGTGGTAGAGCCACGCTGCAGCTATATTACGGTTCGCCGTTGTCATCGATTTGCGACACGCTTTTTGTTTGGAAGTTTCTCTAGCACGCAGCAATTATAATTCAAAGAGTTGTGGTGAACAGCGCGCGAGTGGTGCGGCGGGAACGCGGACGTGACGGCGCCGGGCGCCACGCTGGCGCTGGGGCTGCTGTACCTGCGCGCCGGCGACTGCGCGCCCGCCGCCTGGCTGCGCGCGCCCGCCACGCCCTACCTGCTCGACTTCGTGCGCCCCGACCTGCTCATGCTGCGCGTCGTGGCACGAGGTGAGCACTGGACTGGACCGCACCGGACCAGACCGGACCGCACCGGACCTGGACTGTTCACATGTTATTGTGGTACATATGGCTCGTGTCTATTCATGACCTTTGATAGTAATCATAAATAGTAGATCCGACCGCGACCGTCTGCACTGACCGTCTGACCGTCGCGCATTGGGATTCGTGCGAATTCAGTACGATCGTACCAGTTTAGTTACGTATTATCTAGAATAAGACATACACCAGAAAATCAGTTTTTTGCTCTCTATCGTAATTATTTTAGGAGTTCCGCATCAAATAGTTGTTTCAGTTAATGTTTCTTGTCTAGTTTAAAGGCTATTGGTTTTTTGTAATTTTAGTCTTACAATATCGGTTACAAACTCTCCAAACATCCGGTTTTGCAAGTCTCAATAGAATTAAGCAGGGCAAGGTGGGTAGGTACGAGGATGACACTGAAAGTTTTTAGAAAATCGAAAACTGAACAAACTAGCAAGTTATTAGTTGTATTATATCTTCTCAAAATAGTGTCCATTTACATCAATACATCACTGCATCCGATGGAACCACTGAGAAAAGCACTTTTCCCACTCGTCCTTATGGATCTCTTCGAAGGCATTTTAAAATGCAGCCGCTGCTTTCTCGGCGTCCATAAAACCCTGGAACCATTTCACGACACTAATCAACACGACGGAGTTTTTGGGCCTCTGTTAAATTATGAGGTATCCACCGGGCACAAAGCTTCCTGACCGCTAAATGTTCATGGAGGATTTTGTGCACTTGACTCATACCGATGCCTAAGTTGTCCGAATTTGTCGATAAGTCACTTTTTTGTCAATCTCTATCATAATAATAATAATAATGTCATCGAGACCGAATTTCGGCCACAGCGGCGTGCCTCAACAGAGGCTAGCCATCGCCGCAGGACAGGATTATAGTGCCCAAGTGTATGCGCACGCACAGGTGCACTCTCTATTCCCTCACTCTCATAATCCGATGGGACGATAAACCAACACGACCGGAGAGAGATCAGGCGCAGGACCAACGGCTTTACGTGCTTTTCGAGGCACGGGGGTGAGACACCGCCAACTTCCTGACTCCGGGCAACTACTGAGAATTTCTTGACGGAAAAACTCAATAATTAATTTTTTGACTCGACCCGGGATTCGAACCCAGGACCTCATGATCAGCAGTCGCACTACTACAACCACTAGACCAACGAGGCAGTCTGTCATATGCTGCACAACACTGATGTTATGTTCAGTCTTCGGTCTTCTTCAGCCGTAGAAGTGCGTCCCTCATGCAGATCATCGATGAGATTAGTGTGACCACGGTTAAACCCATTAAACCAGTTGTAAACAGTGGCACGAGATGGAGCTTCATCGTGAAAGGCCAATCGAAGTCTATCATAACTTTATTGTTGACTTAAATGACATCGAAAGTTATAAAAAATCATTGTACGAAAATTTTCCCGCGTTGAATTCATGCTGACATGGCACAGACAATTATCAATTTGCCGCCAAATCGTAAACAAATAAAAATTAATAAAATACATGCACAATAATATTGCCAAAGTTCAATTTTCAAAATTTGAACTAATTATTTTATTATATCCTTTACAAATGGCCAGTTCTAAAAACTTTCAGTGTCTCCCTCGTAGTAGGCTGTTGTCTGCTGTTAATTATGTCGGTATTCAAATTCAGGTCTTATACTATGGGACAGTATAGAAGCATCAGAGGAATGGATCGAAGACCAAGTACCAGCAACGATTAAGCCTTATTGCTTTGTGAAACCTACTGAAGAAAATATCGACTACGAAGCTATGAAGTGAGTATTTTTACTGTAATATGATATTGTTATATCTATATCATACTTAATGATTTCTAATCGGGTTGCCTAATACATAGTTATTGCGAGAGGAATTTGACTTGAGTTCGGAATCCATCCATTTGAAGCTCTTAGCTGTAAGTTCCAAAAAGAGACAATATTTGCACAAAAACAGTTTTTGATTTTTAAATCTAATAATATCTACATGACCGTTATCTCTGATATATAACTTTGATTTCAGTCAAGTAGGTCTATTTTAACCATGGAATTACTAAATCTGATAGTGACAAATCGGTATTGATCCTTTTTTATTTTATTTTTTGATTAACTTACAGCTAGCGTTAAAAGTAAATAAATGAAAAACAACTAGAAGACTTGTTCCCTTCCCCCCCGGACTTCCAAAGAGTTAAGACGTGTTTATTAGTTTATTTTACTACTTGTAAATGCTGTGACAAAATAGTGATAAAATATTAGGAGCGCATAAAGCCCGAGGCAGTTTACGAAGTGCAAGTGACATCTGCGGCAGTGATTAATATTCAACAAACTAAATTATATGTGTGAGTAAAACCATCACATTTACAATCAACAAATAAATAGGACACAGCATAAGACACCACACGTTAGCAAAACGATAACAAGAGAGACGGTTATATTTTACTCGTACGGTTGCATTAGGGGTACGATTTCTCAAATATACTGCGATCACACTTTCTAACTCATATTGTCCTGGTAATTTAACGTTGAGGCGTCTTTTATTTCAAAACCGGTTATACAATGCCGATCAACCGCACACCGCCGCCCGCTTCGCCCGTGCCTATGAGCTCTGATGACAATGACAATCGCAGGCATCGCAGACGCGCGCAATCGACGCGATAGAATGGACGATTAAACTTCACAGTGAATCGGCGCCTGATATTCCATCGCTTACGTTAAATGTTACTGAGCGTAAAAAAAGGAAACATGACGGAGTGAATCCTAACATTATGTCTTATATGAGTGAAATGTTTTCAGTTTATACGAATGAACAAGCAAAGCTTTTCAAAGATTTACAAACTATAGTTTCTAGTATAAAAGAACAGAACGATGAATTAAAAAAGAGCGTCGATACTATGTCAAGCAAGTATGATGAGTTTCTATCACGGATATCCGTTCTAAAGGCAGGGAAAAAGCCGGATAGATATAATATACAACAACTACAGGAGAAAATACAAAATATGGAAAGAAAGTCTAGATTTTCAGGAATAGAAATAAGAAACATACCTAAAAACAATGAAGAATCAGAGGAAAATCTATGTAGCATTGTAAAAAAATTAGGGGAATGTAAATTTGCGAGATTCGGACATAAAAGATGTGTATAGAACCAATTCTAAGACTGGAATTTAATTCAGTCATTATTGAAGAAAAGATGTTACATAAAGTAAAAAAAATTAATAAAACAAAAAAACCAAAAAATGAGAAATTAAATACTTCGCATCTAAATTATTCACAAAAAAACATCCCTATATATGTCACCGAGACGTTAACACAAAATACTCAAAAACTTTTCTATCAGGCCAGAATTTTCCGAAAACATCTAGAGACATCTAGAGGCATTGTATACTTACGCAAGAATGAAAATTCTTCTCAAATTAGAATAAATAATGAAACAGATCTAGAAAATCTATGGAAGACCGAATGACTAGTTTTAAGCTTTAGATTAGATATTTTCGCATCCTTTCCTTTCTTTTTAAGTAGCATAATAAGAATAAATTATATTCTAACACTATACCTTATAATACACATAGTCACAATTTACACACAATACATAAACAAAAATCAAACATTATGTACACACACCTTAATTACATCTTTTATATAACACTTACATTTTATAACAAATCATATTCACTCATCTCATATATACAACTTACAGTTACATTTTTCAATCAATTTATCCAATAAAAGATATTATTTGGTCAATAACGAGATCTAGAGAAATTTAAAGTAATAAATAAAAGGCGATAATAACGCTCTAAGCTTCACTATTAACTTCGATAAAGTTACGGTATGTGACGTTGAAGATTGTTATAAGTATTTGTCACCTAGTGAATCCAACTTCACAATTATTACGCAGAATATACGAAGTATTAACTGCAATATTACAGATTTTGAAGTATTACTGACTAGATTAAAAATAGATTTCGATGTCATTGTACTAAGTGAATGCTGGTTGCTTAATAAGGACAACTTACCCAAAATTAATGGTTATAATTTATGCTCCACTCATTTTAATAACAACCAAAATGACGGATTAGTAATATATGTAAAAGAAAAACATTTGTTCACTACTGAGCAGCCTCACTTTCAAGAAGGGAATTGTATTATAACAACATAGGATGATATTGTTATAATCTCAATATATAGGTCATCGTCATATAAAAATTTAGAAAACTTTTTTCCTTATTTGGATAGTGTACTACAGAAATATTCGAAACATGAAAACGTAATTATAATAGGAGATATAAATATTAACATTAACAGTAAAACAGATATTAATTCGGATAAGTATTTACAACTGACAGCATTCCACGGGTTATTACCCACTCATACTCTAGTAACAAGTGACGCAAGTGGTTCGTGTATTGATCATGTTCTGCTAAAAACGAATAATCCTTCACTTACTATAGTTCCTCAAACTTCAATCACTGATCACAAACCTGTAATTTTATGTATGAAAAATAAACAACGTCAACAGTTTTATACAACTACTATCAGAAAAATAGATCACGATAAACTTAATTCGGATATGCAAAAAATTGACTCTTTACCTATTTATAATATTAAAGATCCAAATACTTCTCTTGAATACTTAGTTAATAAAATAAAAACAATAATTGAAGTTAATACTAAATTAGTAAAGTTGCCAAGACAAAAAAAGATCATCAAACCTTGGATTACGACTGGCCTTCTTAGATGTATTCGTCACCGTGATAAACTACATAAGAGGGCTAGACGACTTCCAGATAGTGAAAGTGATCAAATTATATACCGACGATATCGTAATCACTGTAACGCATTGTTAAAAAGGGTAAAGAGAAATTATGAAAAAGAGCGAGTGAATACGTACATACACACACGCACACGCACACACACACACACACACACACACACACACACACACACACATACACACACACACACACATACACACACACACACACACACACACACACACACACACACACACACACACACACACATACACATACATGTATACACACACATACACATACATGTATACACACACATTTTACATGCTCCTCTCCCATAACTGCTCATACACATTACAGTTACACTCATAACATTATTACTTCTTACAGTTATACATTACACATCTTATGGGAGATGAACGACATAAGTAGTATAAATTATTATCTTGTTTGTACCTTGGTATAAGTAATAAGTGGTAACATAGTATATAAACATAATATGTGATCCAATTAATTTCATTGTAACTTTAATTTTTGCTTGCATTTAACTTTTGCTTGCATCCTAATATTTTTATAAATTAACGGTGGGGATATGGCGCTGACAGCTGATGCACAGGTCTCCTAGTTCGGCTGCAGATGCTATGTTTTCAGGTATATGTACCAATGTAGCTTTATTAAATGTTAAGCAAATATCTTGATGTACAACCTCTTGGAAATAAAGAACTTCTTATTATTATTTAAAAGTTTTCAACTATAGACAATATGAGCTTAAAGATAATAATTTTATAATCTTTGAGATCATTAAGGCTTTATTTAAACTAAACTTATAGTAAGCGTCTTGGTTACTGAGTTAACTGGGCGAATTCACTTGGGTAATTTTGTCATTTAATGGATCTGTTATACATGTAGTATGAAAACATACTCTATTTAAAACAATAATGACTGTTAAAATTATTGTATATAGTAAACGTTATTATAATTTTCGTTAACGTACATTTTGTAAACGTACGTTAAGGTAAAGAATCATTGAATTTTCGTTGAGTGTTTTAAAAAGAAGTGAGGTTGCAGCAGTGTGTGACGTGACGCGGCTTGTTCGGTTGCAGCCAGGCGTATTGCAACATAGTGGCTGGCGCGTGCTTCGCGCTGGGGCTGCGCTTCGCGGGATCGGGTGACGTGGATGCGCGTGACGCCGTGCTGCACAGCTGCGCGCGGCTGCTTGGCGCGCGCGGCCGCCGCCTTGCCGACCTGGCGGGCGCCGCCACGCTCGAAACCTGCCTATGCGTGTGCCTGCTCGCCGCCGGCATGGTGAGCATCCCGCACTCGCTCGCACACGCGCCACTCGCACCTACTCGCACGCACTCGCACGCACTCGCACGCACTCGTTCGCACACGTACACACGCTCGTATTACACCACATTGTTTCATGTCCCCATAACACTTCACTGTTACCATGAGATTCGTACACCTGAAATAACGATAAATACAGCACACTGAGGGATAAAAGAATAGGAACTATATTATGCCCTAATCATTCCCAAACCAGCATACAGTGCACCTGATAGTAAGGCGATGCTATCTTATGTAAATAATTCTCTATTTTCAATTTAGGATCAAAGATGTGCTGTCACACTTGAAGGCTAAGCTAAAATCTCTCTTTACTTGAAAAAGGGTCTGAGACGACTCATTCGTATTTTGACCTTATTACTTTGTGAAAATTTTCTACGACGAAAATTATATTCCTTCTTGCAATGTTATAGAAAATCGAAAAGAAAATTTGTCCCTCATTTGCGTATATGGACTGTGATTTTCTCTCCGTCGAAATTTGGGCGGGTAGGTCCAACGGATAGGTTTTAAAATGAACGTGGACAAGACAAAGTTCATAACGTCAATGCCACACTTATGGCTGTGGTTGTTAAGAGCACTATGTTCGAAGTTGTTGAGAAGTGTACGTTTCGTAAGGATGAATAGCCTGACTAGTTGATTTCAACTTCATGGATCCAACTCGGCTAAGCAGAGTTTGGGAGATTAAAGCACATGTTTTTATTACGTACATCTTAAAACTTGACTGTAAGATTGTACAGCTAGAGCCCATTGCCAGTGATGAATTATGGATCTGAGACGTGGTTCTTCAATGTTTGCTGTATTGGGAGGTTCAAGGTTGTTTAGTATGTTGAATGAATATTAGTATGTTTGGAGTTTTAATATGTAAATATGCTTCGTAATGAGGATATCGGCAGTAGAATAAGAGTAATTTATGTAGCTCGACGGATTAGTAAACTAAAGTTGCATTGAGTTGGACATAGCTCGATATGTCAGAGAATCGACAACCGATAAGGGAAGAAAGGTTCTTTAAGGCCGAATACGAAGAGAACTGGCGAAAATTAATGTATTTCTCTTGACTAGAACTTTGACCTGAAGTAATTCTAAGCTTTAAAACATTTTTGTAGGTTTGTTCGGGTCCTTCACAAGGTCACCGCCATTTTAAAATTTTAAAATAAATGAATATACCAACAAATAAAAAAATGTTAAGAAATGATATATAAAATTATTGTTCTTCCAAAACTCTGTGAATTTTAATTTAGGAATAATTCTTTTACGTAAAAATGTTTGTATTGTGATTCCGAAGGTACCTGCTATCTTTATTTTCGATACAAAATATTATTTATTAACATAATTCGTTTTAATTAAAAACACCTAATAATAATATCGTATATTGCCAGATAAAAGTTTGCCGTAATAAATTATCAGGCGCTTCGACGTGTGACGTAAGGTAACAACAGTCGATGTGCCTGTAGCGAAAATCGTTAATTTAATGTTTTATACGCGTTTAAGTGTCTATAAATGTAAATATGGGTAGGAAAAGAAATAAATGTTACCTAAGTGGTAAAACAAAGAGAGTTTATCGCATGAACGCTGCTCAAATGTTGTATTTTGAGGTTAATACTTATATTTTGTAAGGTAATTTTTTGTTTGAGGCTGCCTAATAAGTTGCATTTTTACTCATTTACATTAGCCAAACTGATCATTTATACTTTTCTAGTTTCAAGTGAGAAACACTAAAAATGTAAAATATCAAGACCCAGTCGGAAAAGAATGTACAGAGTAGTGCAAGCACAGAGACCGCAAATAATGTCAGTCAATGTATTGTCTGAAAGCATGGGATAAGTACATAATTAAGAAAAACCGAAATACTTCGGATGTGAAGTGATTGACCAGTCGGAGTAGTCTTGTGAGAATTTACATACACAGTACCTATCCCCATATGGGGCAAGCACCGACTTTTTAGTTTTTTTCTTTATTATTTATGCAATTTGCATTACGGCATCTTGTAAGACTCACAAGAACAAACATTTTGAGTTATATGAGGTTCTTTACGTACGATACACCAATAAAGAAAAAAAATCGTTATCAATTCAATAACTTTTCGAACAATATTTTATAACAAATAAAGTACAGAATTTATAATCTATAGGAACTAATATTATAAATAAGAAAAATTTATTTAAGAAGTAAGCAATGCTCTCTGTGTTGTTCATTACTCTGCATCTGAGCTAGTTCGTCAAATATAATCAAAGCCCGTACGGCTTTGATTATAGGTATTATACATGTCTATATAAACAAAGCGTAGGTACTGGCGGCGCGTGGTTCGCTGCGAAACGAGCAAGGTCATTCGCGTCGTATTCGGCCTTAATAGCAGCATATTGTAGTGAAGTTTAAAGCCTCCTATTACATGGAGTGTCGACTTAGTAAAACGTGCAGGAAGTCGATGGGTGCGAGTGTCTTAGAACCACACTGTACCTCCCGTACCATATGAGTATGAAACTGAAGAGTGGAGACAGATCAAGATTTGTGTATTTTTATAAAACTGCTAAAAACAACAAAACCATATCTTGGGCTTGCCCTAGTTTGGAGCCCTAGCTTCGCCACTGATCCAAAACCCTGTCAACTTGAAGAAACGCCTACCTGTATTAGTAGATTTACCCTAAAACAGTGCAAAATATGTAAAAGTGGAAACACTGACGCACGGCACGCGCATCTGTGTACCTATGTCAGGTATGAGCTCGCGTTGGTGCTCCATAAACATTTTCGCACCGAGGAGTCGGTGCCATTTTGTTTGTTAAATGGCCCGGTCCCCATACTCAGCAGTATAATAAGTCTATAGGTTGTGCCTTTTTATGCCACTGCATTGACAACTGCCTTGACTCAGGTTATTAATGGTGAACCCAAATTTCATCGCCAGTTACAATTCGGGCCATAATTTTTTTCCTTTGCTGTCCACAGCGGTCTAAAAACTCGCGACAACTTTCCATGAGCTTGTGTTTTGTGATTCTCGGAATCTATATTGCACAAACTTTAGTCATGCCATGCACAGTTTAGTGTTGTTCCTGACTCTCCAAATAATGTTACAGGCTGTTTTTTCTTTAGTCGGGCATCTACCGATACAAGTTTTTCAACTTTTTTGATTATTTCTGGAGTGGTAGCCTCAACCGGCCGTCTAGGTCGAGGGTCGTCTTCAATGGAGTCCCTCCCTTGTTTGAAAAGGGCGTGCCATTTATAAATCATGGTCTTCCCTGGAGCAGAGTCCCCATAAATGGCTGACATCTCTTGAAAAGTTTTTTTTCTATAGAAGTGGGAGCAAACGAACATGCGGCTCACCTGATGTTAAGTGACTACCGCCGCCCATGATCAACCGCAACACCAGGGGAATTGCAGGTGCGTTGCCAGCCCTTTAGAAAGGAATACGCTCTTTTCTTGAAAAAATGGTTTAAGGTGGTTCCTTGTTTGGTGAGAAACTTAATGACGGCGCGATATTAAAATAAAAATTTTCTTCATAGTGGCTAGTTTCTTCTCGTACCGATTGATTCGTTGATAATTCAAAAGCTAATTAGGCTCGATTAGGCTAAAACCTGGTATATATACTAATAATCAGTTACTTCCTTAGCGCCTACCTAGATGAGTAAACTCAACCTTGCCAACCTCGCCATTCCGCGAACTTTTTGACCTCCCCTCGTAATTTGAAATTTCTACAACATCTATGGGTGTCATCATCATCATTGCAGGCCGTCACAAGTCCAATACTGAACATACATACATATATAGGTTTTTATATTCTGAGATACCCACGCTAATATAATAGTAGGTATTTACGATTTTTTTTCTGGTACAAGTAGAAAATTATAGTACTTCAGAAATTAATTAACAGTTACTTGAAATTAATTTTTCGAGTAAATGGCATTGTGACAAAAAATTTAACTCCGTTTTAAATAGCGACATCTGGTGAGCGGAAGATTATTAGCCCTCATTGACTTCCTGTATGTTTTATCAGGTCCAGTCCCTCTCACCTATTCTATAAAAAAAAACACTTGTGCAGTTCACACACTGTACAAGAGAAAATTTCAGAAAATTAAACTTTGAAAGATTAACAATCAGAGTATCATAATAAAAATTGTAGGGTTTATATATTTCAAATAAAAATAAATTTATAATAAATAATGTATGTTACATTATACAACATGTAACTTAATTAACGCACATCCTGAAAGTAGTTTGTTCAGAATCGTTTACTGAATCGATTTCACACACTGACTGTTTAGTTATACATATTTATGCATTGATTATTTATTAAATTAGTTGTACTAATTCCGAAAGAATGTTGTGATCACAGTACATATACACAAACACAAAGACTAACCGTGCTTGAATTAAGGTTAATTTTTCTTTATTTTGTATTGAATGACGGAATTTGTATTAATACAAATAAAACTGCGCTTTTAAAAGTCTTATTGTCTTCAGTTACGGTCCATTTCAGTTTGTTTTGACTGCACAGGTTTAGTGTGACTGTAATTTACGTAGTTTTAATAATTTTTGGGATAAAAAATTACTTATATTAAAAATGATAGAAATCGATTCAGTAAACGATTCTGAACAAACTACTTTCGGGATGTACGTTAATTATGTTACATGTTGTATATCATTCTCTTGTAGGCTCAATCCTATAGATGTATGTTTGTCACTTTTTGTGTCGTTTTTTCGTTTCATCGAGTCTCAAACGACTACGATACTAAAGAAGTTTTCATGGCTGTGCGTGCGCAGATAATGAGCGGGCGCGGCGACGTGTCCGTGCTGCGGCTGTGCCGGCGCCTGCGCGCGCGCACCGCGCCGCCCGCGCGCCAGGCGCGTCCCGCGCACCCGCACGCCGCGCCGCCCGCGCTCTCGCACGGCGCTCAGGTACAAGCGTTACATAGTTACATTTGTTTCATAAATAGTTTTGAGTAGCTGTGGGAGACAGGATCCCAAACTAGGTTACCCTGTGCTATGAGTCTCCTGGCTCCCCCTCTTGGCTTTATAACATACTTTTCGATGATAATGTACTCAGACATGAAGTGAGCGTTGCATGTGGAGATCGAATATGAGATTTCCAAAGAGTAATTTACAATAAAAGTCACATACAATAAATATAACATGCAATATATTTTAAATAATAATAATAAAAGTACATAATCAAAATTAATTAATTAAAGTATATAATCAAAAATTTAAAGAAATGGCAAAAAGGTTAATCGACGTCACAGGAGACCGAACAGCTGGCAGCTACCTCGGACAAAGAATTAGTCTAGCTATTCAACGGGGAAACGCTGCCAGTATCTTCGGAACCTTGCCTAAAGGACCTCCTTTTTAATAATATATTTTACTTATTATCATATATATTTTTAAGGTTTTTAGTATTAGAATTAGAATTTAGAATGTTGTTTATAAGATGTTATGAAATATTAAATGTGAAAATTCATATCAAAATTATATATATATAAACACGCGCGCGCGCGTGTGTGTGTGTTTGTGTTTCTATCTTACTATTCCGCTTTTACAGTAAATTCTCTTTATTCGTAATCTAATTTCATAAGCCAATCTGTAAAAATTTTTTTTTACTTTTATATTTTGTTAGTTGAAAAATTGAGTGTTTTCTGTTACTGTTTCTCTACCGTAATTACATAATAAAATTCGTAATAAAACTCGACAATCGTAATAATAACTTGTAAAATGTATCATATTACAAAAATCATATTATAAAAAAGTGTTAGGAGGCCGGCAAGCGCGTTAAGTTTAGCAGCACGCTATATCTCGGAGCACGCTACATTACATATCGTTCATTGGATAGACCGCGTGCTATATAAGAACATTGTTTCGTAATAAGTCGCATTTTAGATTAAAATAAAATAAAGTGGTAAAGAAAAATTAAAGAACGCTCTTTCATATTTTTTATAATCCTAAAAATATTTTTAAGGACTGTACTTTTTAAAACAAAATAAAATTAATCATTTTTTGATTATAATTGATGTAAACGTTATTTTAACATTATTATAAATTATAAATAAAAGGTGTATTTAAAAGTTTATTAATTGTATATACAAAAATCAACTATTTACAAACACTTTTGTATTAATATTTTATTTACATTTAAAAACATTAGTTAGGCTTCTTTTGTAGCAGACAACTGTGTCCTTCGATCACTTATAAATATACAGTATACACTAAGTAAATAACGTCTAACACTAAATTATTTCGCGCGCGATGAATAGACCGTGCTGCTAGATTAAAAATTTGCGTCACACGTCTGCTTCCAAACAGCCCTGCTGCTAGAACTAATTGCCGCTTGATATGAATAGCGTCAAAGCGTAAGCGCCATGGCGACTACTTACATTGCACGCGCTATGCGTTATGAAGAGATAGCGCGCTATTAGCCACCATTAGTATATACAGCCGAAGGAAAATAAAAAACTCTTCATACGAATTTCGCCTCTACCATTTTGTACTTACAACTTGTAACATTTTGTACTTTACTACTATTTTTACTGACACAAGGATATTTCTTCTTTTTTCGATCCATCCTTTTCCGTTTTTTTTTTTGGTAATAAATTATATATAAAACTTAAAATATATAAAACATACCAAATATAAAAGTCAAAGTAAATTAATCTAATACTAATATAAACACTAAAAACTAGAACTAATATGACAATTCAATAAAAATAATATATATTTAAGTAGAGCAACTTTCACGATATGCTCCGCTCAGTCCATAAGAGCTGCACGAGGGAAAGAGATTAACCGTGCGAGCGAGAGTGAAAGTAACGTTGAGCAACACTACACACGTCTGAACGCCGAGAAATCCCAGCGGAACTGAGAGAATTTTCAGGCGTTTCTGGTTTATAAATGGCATATAGGTAAAAAGTACGAAAATATATACTTTTTTAATTTTATTTATTTCTAACTCACTTGAAAATAGTTCTATTTTATGTGGTTTTAAGTACGACTTTGCTACATTTATATTTCTAATAGAAAAAAAACAGATATATGCAGTAAAAAAAATCATGAAATTACAACTTTTTAAGCCCTTCAAATAAGAAAATTAAAGCATTTATAAAAAAAAGTGACCAGATCAGATTATTGTAGACAATATGTAAATAAATGTGATCTGAATACTTTTCTTGATATTGTTATAGTTTGTACATAGTAGAAGCTTTAATAAGACCTTTTACGCATGTAACCTAAACATAGGCATGTTTAACGCCTAATAGAGCTATTAATTTAAACACCAAAATAAAATTAAAAAACAGTTTCGAAAATATCAAATCCTACACTTTAAATAAATATAAAATGTGTTTCACTTTTTCTTTTTTAAATGCTATAAAAAATATTTCTTTTGCGGTAAATTTTGCGAGAACACTAATTTTTACAAGACTGGGGCCTTAAACTAAATGTATGAAATCCGTAACACCGAAATACTAATGTGATTTTAAATGGGAAGGTGTTGAAACACCTACTAGACAAGATAATATACCGTTATACTTCCTGCGTAGTATTCTAATTCGAAATTGATTTATTTCAAAATACAGCGTAAATACACAATTTCAGTAAATAACGTATTAAGCACGCATGACCCACAGTGTATTTAAGGACAGTGTATTTACGAATCACTCTTTATTTATTTATTTACTCTTCATTTAAATGATCTTTAGTTCAGTGCATAATGTTTTCAGATGGCAGTACACTGCACTATTGGGCTTCTCTTCCTGGCAGGAGGTCGCGGTACCCTCAGTACTTCAAGGACTGCTGTGGCGGCCTTACTAATAGCTTTCTTCCCGAAATTCCCCACGCACAGTGAAGATAATAGGTACGCATTAATGTATTTCTTAGTTTTATTTCAGGTAAAACCTAAAAGGTTGACGATTTTAATATTTGAATTTTTTTTCATCCGTCTGTTTGTCTATTTTTTCATCTGTTTTTTTTGCTGAACATACTTTAGAAAATTCATAGAATAGGGATAGGGATATTTTATGGGTTTTATTGTTTATTGTTAGATCTGTTTTTAAATCGCATACTGTATCTGTATTTAAATTTTAATTACTTTTTATTTTCATAGTTTATCAATTGTTGCAATTCACCTTATTATACATATTATATTATCATATGGTTATTCCAGATATCACTTACAAGCGTTCAGGCATCTCTACGTACTGGCAGTCGAGCCAAGGCTCATACTGCCTCGCGACTTGGACACTGGGAAATTGTGCTACGCTCACATACAGGTAATTTTTTACTTCACCCACCATTTTGTGATACGATCACGTGCCATACGATTACGAAATACATTGTGAAACCTGTTTCATTAAAGTTTCAAAGAAATGGTAAGTATGTGGATCGACTCTACCGGGGAAGAGCCACAGTCGTAAAGAATATCACCGTAAAATAGCAGCAAAGCTTGCTGTGTTTGGTATAAAGAGAGATGAGAATCTATTTATTGTCCATCTTAGTTAGTCATCTTAGTAGTTAGGGGTGACAAGGCATCTACATTTTTAACTTCACGCTTTGAAAATTAATATTAAAAATTAATAATTTTCAATATGCGATTTTGAGAATGCGAGTTTTCATTCGATCTCCACGTTTTGAAGTCCTAGGATGCTGTTCCGACTATTTTCGACTGGACGTCCGGTCCGCGCGCGCGCGCGCGCGTGTTTGTGTGTGTGTGTGTGTTTGCGTGCGTGCGTGCGTGAGTACGTTCGTTCGTGCGTGCGTACGTGAGTGCGTGCGTGCGAATATGCGTTCGTGTAGGTGGGTGGGTGTGCATGCGTGCGTGTATTGTTTATATACATTGTGATACGATCATACGATACGACATTGTTTGTATACACACATATGCATGTAAATAAAATTTTGACAGATATCTTTAGACAAATCAACCAATCGAGATGACTGAAAGTGTTCATTGGGACTTCGACCTGATTAGATTTTAAAGGTATTCAAAAAATATAAACCAAAAAAATATTTTCATAGTAACTTTCAAAATATTTGACTATCAACTCCAGACATCAACTATTGTGTAGTTAAGTAATTCAAAATAGAACGACGCGTTCAAAAGTTGTAAATATTTAAAAGTGTAGAAATAATCGGTTTTTTATGTAACTTTTAAATTATTCGATCTATCGACTCAAGACCTGACAAACAATATTTTTCACTTAAAAAAACTGCATCGAATGTCGCCAAGTAAATCAAAATCGAACGAGGCGTTCAAAAGGTGTAGCCATTTATAAATTTCTAAATAATCGTGTGATGGACACCACTTTTGAAGACTTGAGCTCGAAGAGTTCTACTAAAATCAATCGATTGGAAGTTTTTCTAGCGTCAAATTCGCGGAGCGCGTTTTCCAAGCTCGATAAAAGCGGAAAGTTTTAGGATGGGCTACCTGTCAATCGTTTTTTAGTTTTTTTTTTTTTTTTTGAAACAAGGAACGGGTATAAGTGTTTCTGAACAACAACATTTACTACCGTCAGGGGACTATGCGGTGTTACTGTTTGACGCTCAGGATTAACAAATTAAAATATAATTTTACTTGGTAGAGCCATGCTATAGCTATATTATGGTTGTAGCACGAATGGGTCAAATCGTCAATGGGTCATTAATCCAAGATAAAAATGTAGATGTCTATGGGCCACTGCATTCACTTACAATCAGGTGAACTGTGTGCTCGTTTGTCACCACATTCCATAAAAAAACCAGCTCCTTAATCGCCCTCGAGCGGGGGTGGTGGCTTAATCCGCCTAATGGACGGGTCAGGTGTGATTACTCAGAGCGTATTAGTGTGACTTTTTAGATATATTTAGATAATTTTGATTTATGCGAATTATGGGTTAATGAAGAAGTATACTGAATAACAAAATACAAAGTGATAACCCGTGAGTCGTGAGAGTACGGAAAGATGGTGCGTTGTGGACAAACGGTCCGACGTCACGGCTGGGCGTGAACAGAACCTTTATTTCAACATAAAAATTAAACACATTTCTTCAAATTAAAGTTTAACCCTTCAAGCGCCATAAAAATCCCATGTAATCGCATGCGCCTGACAAATCCCGAGCGGTCACATGCGACCGCACCCACTCACTGCACTTAAAACCATTAAAACTTATATTTAGAGACTACTTTTTATAAAGAAGTTTAGCATTATAAATTCTATACAAAATTCTCTATTTTGTGGTAAGTAAGGTTTTACTTCATTACAAAAAGATTTTATTGTATTTTGATAACAAAAAAAAAACATACCAAGCGAATGTCGGCAGCGTGAAAATCACAATTATTTCAATATATATTACTCGAAATTATTTACGTAAAAAGATAATCACACAAAAACTAAGAATAACTAATAAGATATTCACACAAAAACTTTCATTACAATTTTATAATAAAACACTATACTAAAACACTAATTAAACACTAGAAAAATCCAAAAATCAACACAATAACATTCATTCACGCGACAATAGCGTGCGAAATGAACGTAGATTATAAATAAATATTCATAGGATAACAGTTTTTTTTTTATTGCACTAGAAAATAGAGTATTTCATATTGATTACATAATGTCAAACTTCTTCATAGAAAACTCTCTATATATAAGTTTTTATTGGTTAAAGTGTTGTGGGCGGGTGCGACCTCATGAGACCGCTAGGGATTTGACGGAATATGGCCGCTGTCTCATGAGACCGCTAGGGGGTTGAGAGGTTAAAAGTACTTCACAAAAGTTCTTTTACTCACCATAGGAAACACATCAGCATTATGCTGGTAGTTAACGCTGGTATTGAGTGAGCGTGTTCCTTGCCAGGTTGAGCCAACCCCTTCAGGCGGACATATTAAAGTTGCACCGAGGCTCTATCACGTGCAAAACCGGGATAGTTTTTTACTACATATGAATAATATTTTCTGATTCGATATCTTTAAAATTTTTAGGTGGTAGATCTACAAGGTGTTGTTAAAGAGATGAAGGCACCTTGCATTATTCCAGAACTGGATACGTTGAAAGAGGTGAAAATAAACGATCCCAGATATTGGCCTATCGTGTTCCAGAGGGACCAAAATTGGGATCAGCTAAAGTAAGTGGTGTGTTTGGCTTTTTCAGTAGGTTTTATTTAGTAAAGCAGTTTTGTTTTTTCTAATCACTTAGACACATTGATTTAATTTGGAAAAGATTTTACCAAGTAAATTAGATTTTTCCTTTTTCAGAACATTCCTCGAATATACATGGTGTATAGATATAAAACAACGGGCCGGCTGCCTCTCCTATGTCTCCGATCCACAAGGATTCCTCACGATACTGGCCCAGACCCTCACCCTGGACAAGACCAACATTTGGCTAGCGACACCGGAGAACATCGAATTATTCACAAACGACGATAAAGTACGGAGCTTCGTCAAACATTACCTCACGAGTGAAACAAGCAGTTCGAAAATTTGCGCCAATTGCTTACTGGTGAGCAAGAAAAAGGGGAGGGGGGAGGGTCTGGTGAAGGAGTGTCAGTGTCGGAAGTACAGTAAGGAGGAAGAGGAACACGTGCAGGCACTTAGTATGGTCACTTACGAATGTCTGGTGAAAGATATCCTGTGTGCTCTGCCCATTTGGACCACATTTTTGAAGGTACTTGTGAATTAAAAAAAATATTTAAAATATTACAGGAACTTTATGTCCACTGTTGCAATCCTAAGAATATATTATGTAGCGCTGTAAGAATAGTACAAAATAGAATAGAAATTTATTTAATATAGATTATAAATAATTCTTAATGAAAGAAATTTTTCAATGATCACTGGTTCGGAAAAACACCTCTATCCTGGGAAGTAACAGCAAGAAAGCCAGCAGGACTTTTTTCACCAGCACTCATATAGGAAACAGCTTGGAAGCGATCACCTCCATCACATAATTCCCAGGGGTTATTTTCAACCATAAGAATGTTCATCAACCATTTATCCCGTTGTTGTTGTAAAAGTCGACTATAGGAAATGCTAGAAATCAGGATTCCGATATATAGAGGTATAACCATCTCGTTTACAATAGGTGTAAAATATCCAAATTGGCGACGGGCAGCAGCATCGAAGGTGGGAGACGGCGTGAGTGACGATCTCCGGAGGCGTTTTTTTACTAGTAAAGAAGCATTCCATCTTTGTCCTCAGAGGTGACTATTTCTTCCCAATGGAGTATAATAGATTTATTTAGGCGTCTATACGCCAACTACTTACCATTAGCTTGTCTGGTAGTTTGTCCGTGAGGTTGTCTGTTAGGTTGTCCGTTAGGTTTTCCGTTAGGTTGTCTGCTATGTTCTCCGTTAGGTTGTGTGTGTGATTGTTTGTCACCCCCACATGTTATACATAACCAGTGTTAGATTGTCGAATACAATGTTTACAAAATAAAAATCTATTCTTCTCGTCCGCTCGCAACCGATTAATAAGTTACGGTGAATTGACCATAGTTTAGTGCGCAACTTATTAAGCCCGGAGAGCCTGTCTGGTAATATAGAAAACTTTGATTTCTGACAAAGTAATGAAATTTTTTTCAATGTGTCTTAAATAAAAAGATGATGTTTAAAAACCTTATGGTAAAAAAGTTATTGTATCGCAGTTTTTGATTGATGTATGAGCAGACTTATTTCCATACAATGCCGATATACAAACTGAAGAGCGATAAGCATTGTTTTAGGTACATATGTGTTAAATGCATAATTTGATCGTTCATTTTTTTATTAAAATAAGGGTGAAGTTCACCTGATGGCTCATAGACATCTATATTTATCCTCGATTAAAAATCAAAATTCCAGATGCGTTTCCAGTAAAAACGGTATCCGGTTCTCTACACTGAATATACGAAACATAACAGCATTAAACGTGGTCCTACCTCGGTAGCCGACTTATTTGCTACAACCATAATATAGGTGAAGCACAGCTCTACCATGTTGAATTTTTAATCGAGAATTAATTTAGATATGTTTGGGCCTCAGCATCTATTTACTATGAAGTGGGCTATGTAACATTCTTCTTTTCTAGATTTGAAACATAATTTTAGTAAAATTATGGATGCTATTAATTATATGTTTTTTTTTTTGCTAATATTAATATTTGATTATGTTTTCTGTTATTGAGCTGAACTTAATTTTTCAAAGTTGGCGAACTGTATCAAAATTATGATTTCTTATATTTACGCGAACACTACACATTGATTAAAATTGGGCTAGTGCGGCGGACATTTCCTTGTCCTTAACCTAGAGGGTTAAGGACAAGGAAATGTCAAAGAAAAGAGATGAGAGGAGGCATGTGTCCAGCTGTAGGACGTATATATTTATCTTTTCATTTTAATTTATAATTATATATTTATAGAATCCAACCATATGAGAAAACTATTCTAGACTATATATATAAACATATGATAATAAAATATTTAATTTTTAATATTATAATAATAATATATTTATTTGCTTAAAACATGGTATGAAAAAGATTTTACAAATATTTTAGAAGAGAATTGTGAGAAGTTGAAGATTTAGAATATTTTAGAAATGCTCTATTTTGATTCTTACTTACTTTTGATTACTTTGCTTTTGCAGATGATAAAGATAATGAAGCGCGAGCCGACTGTGTACCACGTGTGGCAGGTGAAGCTGGTGCTGTCACAGGTGGAGCGGCAGGCGCGCGCCGCGGCCGCGGAGATGGCGGTGGACGGGCTGGAGCCAGCCGCCGAGCCGCTCATCTCGCCGGAGTTCACGCTCGCCATCAAGCAGCGCGTCTGCGCTATCTTCGACAGCTGGGAGCCGCGCTTGGCCTCGCAGCTGCGCAGGTAATCTTATTTGCTTTATTTCGTGCACCGTGTAGTGGCGGTGTAGGAATATCCGCTACATCGTATCATTCTGGGGGTGTCCTTAAAAGCGGCAGAGGCAAATAAATTAGAAGATGAGCAGCAGCAGCTTCGGAATAACGACTAAAATAAAAATAAAACTTTAGTTGCCATCCCGCTTGTCAAGCGTGGCAAGTATGGCAAATATCTTTCTATTCAATCTGTGTGGAAGGTCTATGTTCAAAAGTGTAGTTTTTATACGTGGTAGAGGCATGCTGCAGTTATATTAGTAGTATAGTTGTAGCACGAATGGGTCGGCTCGACCGGGGAAGGACCACGCTCTCACAGAATATCGGCGTAAAATAGTAGCTTAATGCTCGTATGGTGAGTGTAGAGAACTGGAGAGCCTTTTTACTGGAAACCAGGCATTCCATCTTAGTCCTCACGGGTGACAACGCATCTGCATTTTGATTTGTAATGGAAGATAGATTAATGTAGATGTCTGTGGGCCACACCAACCACTTACCATCAAGTGGACTGTGTGCTCGTTTGTCATTGTCACCCTATCCTATAAAAAAAACAGTGAACTATAATAGGTTGAAACGCCAACGGTTTCTTAGCAGGTACTTTGATTTAAGTGGGGGGAGGTGGGTCGGCGCGATGTGTATATATATTTAGTAAGACATAAAGAGATAATTTAGGGCCCATTTTTAATTATACTGCGTGGATGAAGGTACGGGTATGAGATTTGGTATAGTCAATCTTGCTGAAATTTTGTACTTACTACTACTACAAGATAACACAAACACTTGCCTCCTTTACATCCATGGTCCAGCGCCTGATCGCTCTCCGGTCGTGTCAGTTTATCGTCCCATCAGATTATGAGAGTAAGGGAATAGAGAGAACACCTGTGCACCATACACGGGCACTATAATCCTGTCCTGCGCCGATGGCCAGTCTCCGTGGAGGCTGAACTCCGTGACCGAAATTCGGTCTGGGGGACATTATTATTATTATAACTACGCATATGGTCGTCAGTGAAGTGTATTGTGTATTAGTGACGCTAACGGTTTTCATCAGGTACTTGGGCTTGAGCGGGGGGAGGCGGGTGGGTGCGGAGTGGCGCGCCGCGCTCGCCGCGTACGTGCTGTACCACGAGCTGGGCGTGGGTGTGGGTGCGGGGGTGGGCGGTGCGGGGTCAGCGCTGTGTGGGCGTGGACCGCTGGGCGCGCTGGCCGCGAGCGCGCTCAAGCCGCTGCTCAGCTGATGGCGGCCCGAGCGCGCGTGCACGCGCCACACACACGCACACGCAAACTCACACCCCCACAACCCACACACCATCCCCACGTGAATGTGCTCAATGATTCAATAAGTCACTTAATAACTAAATGTGCGACGGATATTATTCACCCATAAACCCTTCCCCTCTATCTCTGCCTCCATAGTAGATCCTATCAACTCATCGCTGAGGATCGTATCAACAAGGTTAACGTTAATAGTGTTGCAGTTAATTTTGAAATGTCTAACCCTCCTACAAACAGTAACAACTCCTTCCCCCCTCACTGTTGCTTACATGAAAAATTTATCGAAAGTAAATTACTGCAGTCAGCAGGTATTCCAATTGTATGGAATACGCATTATTAGCTTTTATTATGCACATTGATTTGAATAAATTAAATTGTTTTGTACGTTACTAAACAATTTAATTACGTGTGGATAACTCATAATAAACATTGTTAGCATTTTCCTATATAACTGATATTTGAAGTGGTTGTAATAAATGTAAAAATTATATAATTTCTGTAAAAATTTTAGGATAATGGCGAAAAATTGTTGATGAAATTATTAAGCGGCTACATAAGTCAGCATTACAGATATCAATAAAAAAATTTATATGTTTTATCTAATCAAGCTTATGACCTATCAAAGTCTAGAAAGAATTGTCATACCTAATTTAATACTAAACTGATTAATTGTTGTGGCAAATTTTCGATGGAATTATTAAGTCTACTTATGTCACCATCACAAATATGAATAAAATAATTTACTATGTATTATCTTATCAAACTTACGACCTATCAAAATCTGGTAAAATCATCATACATAATTTAAAACTAAATTGACATCATACATAATTTAAAACTACATTGAATACTTACGATTCGCCAATTAATGCAGGCAAAGGTGTTATACCATACAGCCTAGTCTGTTGTGTATTTTATTCACAATACTCTTTTCAGTATATTAATGAGTTATTGTAGTATTCTTTCTTTGCTATTAATTTGTCTATATAAGCATAACATAATTGTTGTTATTGTTGTAACGATTTGCCAATTTTGTCTTATACCATACAGAATAATCTGATGTGAATTTTGTTCAAACTGGAATATCTTTAATTCCTGACTTCCTGCAGTAGTTAACTAAAGGAAAGATTGTTTAGGATTTCAAACTGTATATTTTTAAATATTTTTCACTTGTAGAGGCGAGAAAAAAACGTCAACAAAAATTTGTTTGAGAGTTCGCCATTGTTTTTTCACATTTGTAAATCGTTTCCCCGCGTTACAATACGAGTAAATATTGCGTATAAGGTTCTTGTAATTTTTTATAATATCAAGGTGATATTAGTTAAGAGTAAACATTTCAAATATGTACCGTGTTTTATTTCTCACATTCCTTACTTCTCGAAAAGTTTCTTAGAAACCCAGCATGAGGCAAGACTTCCTCCCTACCATTGTATACAGGGACGAGGTGAAGAAAATTTACAACTTGGCCATGAAAGGAAAAGGGGTGATCTTCCACGGGAATAATGTTCACTGTTTATATGCAATCAATGCTCCACGATAGGGGAAAACAGGAAGTCTGGTAATCCCGAACTCATCGAATCCAATAGTTTAAAAACATTTGACAATATTGTGTTTACTATCATTTTGTATCTAAAATCACGCCACCACTAGTGCTAGACAGTAACGGCAAATAAATGTAAATAATCTAAAATATTGTTACGAGCTTGAGGTTCGTGACAATAAAAATTGCCGATAAAATTACCTAAATTAACACTTTAATTTACTTTACACAAATTAAAACTAAAAACACTAATAATTAAACACACTAATTCACTTAATTCCGTTCCGACGCTTCGCTTGTTTCGCCAAATCAACACTATCTCGATCGCATCTTGCAGCGCCTATATATTTGAATTAGTAAAGAAATATCCAGAATGTTCAAGTAAACACGCGGAAGGTATCGAGCGTTCGAGTTTCGACTAGGCGCTGTCAGTTGAGCGATTTGTGATGTCATTTTCTCAATGCTCCCCTCGCTCTCGTTCCTGACACTAGATGGCGCTAGTTGACTTATTCATGCAACACTGCCCCCTCCTAAGACATGCTCGTCCCGAGCATTATCGGTCCCATAATAACGCGCCAAGCGATCCACATGGACGATCTTAGGAGTCCCTCTTGCGCCTTTCTGTATCCGGTAGGTCACATCGTTGATCCTGGTTACAATCCGGTACGGGCCGTCCCATTTAGCTTGAAGCTTAGGAGATTTCCCTTTGCTGCGGACTGGATTGTGCAACCACACAAGTGAACCTTCGTCGAACCCTTTGTTGTTCATTTTGCGGTCATACCGGGTTTTCATCTTTTCAGACATTTGCTGGCCCGATTGTCTGACGTGCTCATAAACGTCATTCATTTTTTTCCGCAAGTCATTTGCATAATCGGTTATACTGCGTGGAGCATCGGGTGGTATCCCGGTGATCAGGTCTGCAGGCAGCCGTAATTCTCTTCCAAAGTTTGCGAAAGCTGGTGTCACTGCTGTACTTTCGTGAACAGAACTTCGATATGACAACAAAAACGGTTGTATGTGCTTGTCCCAATCTCGTTGCCGATTGTCTACAACTTTTGCTAGGTACCTCTCCAATGTCTGATTAAATCGTTCCACCATTCCATCAGATTGCGGGTGACAAGAAGTCGTTCTTGTTTTATGAGTACCCATAACTCGGCAAGTTTCCTGGAATATTTGAGACTCAAAATTCCTTCCTTGATCGCTGTGAATCTCTAAAGGTACTCCAAAACGACAGAAGACTTCATGAACTAGTTTATCTGCAACTGTTGAAGCTTCTTGATTTGGAATGGCGAAGACTTCTGGCCACTTAGTGAAGTAATCCATCACAACCATGAAATACTTGTTACCGCTTTCACTCTCCGGAAACGGCCCCGCCACGTCAATGGCTATTCTCTCCCATGGTGCACCAACATTGTACAACTTCAATGCACCTCTACTACGAGTCTGAGGTCCCTTTACAGCCGCACAACTTGTACATTTGCGACACCAGTCCTCGACATCGTTTCGACAGTGGACCCAGTAAAACCGTTCTCGGATCTTCAGTAGAGTTCGTTTAACTCCCAGATGGCCTCCTGAACAATCATTATGGTACAGCTGTAGAACATCCGGTACTTTAACTTTAGGGACAACCATTTGCAAATGACAGCTGTCTCCCCGAACGTTTTCCCATTTACGACACAGAACTCCATCCTGAAGCAGCAAGCTGTCCCACGGGGCCCAATAGCTTTTAGTGGTCGAACTCATCGCTGAGACGTCACTCCACTTGGGCTTGGGAGCACTGGCCTTTATCCATTCCAGAATCGGCTTGATGTCCGGATCTTCCTGCTGTGCATGTAGTAAGCTGTCCTTCCACTCGTTGCTGAGGTGGTCTGCCCTGAGCATCCTCACGGATACCACTTCCTTACTCTCTTGCCTAGTACAATGTTTGCAATCTTCAGGACAAGGTCTTCTTGACAATGCATCTGCGTTGCCATGAGATTTCCCGCTGCGATGTTCGATCTCAAAGTCGTATTCCTGCAGTAGTTCAATCCACCTCGCAACTTGTCCTTCTGGGTTTTTAAACTGCAATAGCCATTTTAGTGCAGCATGGTCAGTTCGTAAGTGAAATTTTCGTCCCAGAAGATATTTGCTAAAATGTGACAACGACTTTACCACAGCTAGCAATTCGCGTCTTGTGACACAGTAGTTCCTTTCCGGTTTTGACAACGACTTGCTGAAGTACGCTATCACGACCTCTTGGTCACCATTCCGTTGAGACAACACACCGCCGAGTCCTATATCACTTGCGTCTGTGTCAACTATAAATTCTTTGCTTGCATCAGGGTATCCCAAAATAGGTGTTTTGCACAGACGGTCCTTGAGCTCCTGGAATGCGATATTGCAACTTTCATCCCAGCAGAAATGTCGCTTCTCCTCGGTTAGCTTGTGCAGAGGTTTGGCTATATCTGCAAAGTTCTTCACGAATCGCCGGTAATAGGAGCACAAACCCAAAAATGCTCTAACCTGCGTCTTGTCTTTTGGAACCGGCCAATCCTTGACAGCGGCGATTTTCTCTGGATCTGTGCGGATACCTTCTTCCGATACTACAAACCCCAAAAAGTTAACTTGCCGTTGAAATAGTGAACATTTCTTCGGGCTCAACTTGAGGTTGGCACTCTGAATCTTCATGAGCACGCGTTCCAGGTTTTGAAGGTGTTCCTCAAACGTACGGCCCACGATGATGATGTCATCCAAGTAGACCAGACAGGCATCGCTAATTAGCCCGGTAAGTACAAGTTCCATCAGCCTTTCAAACGTTGCTGGAGCATTGCACAACCCAAACGGCATTACTTTGAATTGCCACAGACCCTTTCCCGTCGAGAACGCAGTTTTCTCCTTGTCCTTAGGGTCAATTTCAACTTGCCAGTAGCCACTTTTTTAGATCCAGCGTGCTAAACCATTTTACTCCTGTAAGCATGTCCAGCGTGTCATCAATTCTTGGCAAGGGATAGCTGTCCTTCTTTGTAACGTCGTTCAGACGGCGGTAATCAACACAGAACCGCATGCTGCCATCCTTCTTTTTCACCAGCACCACTGGTGAACACCATGGACTAGAGGAAGGTTCAATAACACCATCCTTCACCATTCCTTCAATCATGGTTTCCACTTCCTTTTCACGTGCTACCGGCAATCTTCTTGGCCGCTGACGGATAGGCAATTCCTCTCCTGTGTTTATTTTGTGTTGAACTAGGCCAGTCTTTCCTATGTCAGCATCATTTGATGAGAATACATCGGCGTACTTGAGTAACAACTTCTTCGCCTTGACCAATTCGTTCGGGGACAGAACACTGCGACAGTCTTCCAAAAGTGTGGTCACTCTCGTTTCTGAATCCTTGCTGGGGGTCCCACTCGATATATATTGGCACTGACGTAAACAATCCACTT